GACCATGTATTAACAGAAGAAATTTGCAAAATTGTATGCTTAGGTTAAGTATTAATACTTAATTATTATTATGTTGAAAATATTAAGGCATGAAGATAATAATAAATGTAGAAGTCGATAAATGCTGTTAATGCTTGACTTTTTTATTCATGAGTTTATCTATTTTCAGCGGTGGACTTGTGAAGGGATGTAATGATGATGATGTCTATGATAATAAAGATCAAGCAGAGTATATTATAAAGTAAACTTTAAAAATATGCTTGCTTTTTTTAAAATAATGAATGAAAATAGTGGGTGAACAGATTTCATTGACTACTATCAGTATTAATGTATAACACTATACATATGTTACAGTGCGAAAAGCTGGAATTAGCGGTGACCAAAAAATGGCACCTCTATGACAAAAATCATAAAATGAATATTTTTACTTTTAATATGGCGGTGAGCCAAAGAATGCCCATATACATATTTGGATCTGTAACGCTGTCGTTACCAACATTTACATGGGTAAGGTATTTATGTTACATTCTATTTGTTACCTCTGAGTGAGTTTTATAAAGGGCAAAGTAAACTTATTAAACATTTTTTTTAGTTTATAAAAACTGGCATGTCATTTTTTACATTAGTAATGTCCTTACAAATGCTGAAAAAAATAAAAACAATAAAGTGTTTTTGATCATTTATATGCTTGCATATTACTTATATATTAGGCGTTCTTGTAGTTAAAATTATTTATGCATATTAAAATAAACTAAAATATTTATAAACACTGTATATTTTATTTATTATTCATACAGTTTTTTCCATTCATCACAAGTTAATAAAAAATAAAATAAATAATTTAAAGTCATAGTATGAATCTGGTGTACTATGTCAACGGGCATAATGGGAAAATGGCAACCTTAAAAAATAACTCCATCTTTAAAAAATAATACTGGACGATAAAATAACATGGAATAAAGGATAAAACATATAAGAAATAAGAAAGAGGGTACAGATTGACAGCAGCATCTTCTTGATTACAAATGAAAAAGAAATGTACTGCGGTTCCAACCCGCTTGTGAAGCATGGCAATTATGGCATATGTATATCCTCCCTATTATACTTTTATATATTTAAAATTATTACGCCGATATATATCTAAAAATTAGTATTTTTTTATTAAGATACTTAAACCGTGTAGTGGCGATGTAAGAATATCCACAACCCTATATCATTCCGTGGGTGTCTATAGACAAACAAACCCGGAGATGGACTGCAGCGTCTACCTAATAACGACAAAAAAAACTGCGATTGCAAACCCGCTTGCCAAGCGTGCCACGCTACGGCAAATATCCCCCCTATTAGGCAATCTATGGGGGAGGCCTGTGTTCAACAGTGGACTTTAATAGGATGTGGCATTAAGTATTAATACTTAACCTATACAATTCTTTTCTCAAAAAAAAAACTAGCTGTTGGTGAAGTGGGAGACTAAAGCAATATACCGAAAACAAAATTTTGTGAGACATTATTTATTCCATCCATCCATTAGAGCTGTTTACTGCTGAGGCTGAGGCCTCCACCATAAATTACCTCAATTGATTTTCCATAGTTGCTTCACTTGGTAGGCGGGTTGTAGACCGAAGTTTTATTATTATTTTGAGCTGTTATCAGGAAGATGGGGCTGTCCATCTCCTGTTTCAGTCTCCCTCTGTCTCTTCTTACGATTATCACGAGACGATATTTTTTATGGAATAAGGGTGAGATATGAGCACACAATCCACCTGATGGTAAGTGGATTCTGTGGCCCAAAGACATATACATTTATCCTCGATTTAGGATCTAAATGCAGATTCGATCTCACCTCTGGGCACTAAGATGCAATGCTTCGTTTCCAGTAAAACGGATCTCCGATTCTCTATACTCACCATACGAAACACAGCAGCATTACAGCTGCTATTTTACGCTGGTATCACGGATATGCGGTAGAAGGTATTCTTACACCTCCATTACATAGTAAATTATTATTATTATCAAAAATAACTAGAGATGTAAGAATATAAATTCATTAACAACAGAATATAAAACGTACTCTGCTGAACATAGACTACCTCCATAGATTGCCTCATAGGTGCATATTTGACATAATCTCCAAGCTTGACAGGCGGAGTGCTGATCGCAATGTCATACGTCTCGCACTTTTGATCCTGGTCCCCGTACAGGGAGTCTAACGTAAACGACCTTTCTAGTATTTCTCATAATCAGTCGCCTCTTAAATCGTCTACAAGTCGAAATGGCTAAATGGAGGGTTACGCCATTACCACACGGTTTTTTTATATTCACAATGGCACACCTTAGGTACGTGTGATGTCATCAATCAATTAAAAATTATCAAAAATGTTAATATAATTCCAAAAAAGATAGATGACACTTCAAACTTTGCAAAGGTCTATTCTTTAATCGAATAGCTAAATATGATTTCATCGTCTATAATTTACTGCTGAATCAGCATCTTATTTTTAAAAAATACGATTGAAGGCCTTCTCCAGTCAACTATGAATAAGTTATATCGAAACATTTGATGTAACCGATCCTTGAATACTATTTTAAATAACCATAAAAGAGCTATGACTCATTTTGGTGAATACCAAATTATAATTAAGTCGTTTTGTACTACATGATGGTAAGTGGTACACAGCCGAAGATGGTAAAGCATAACATAAGTCTATTTACGCTTGCTATTTACCTCTTCTATCACTGTGATGAGTTAGTAAGCTCAGAGTTGATAACCTTGCGCTGTGAGTGACGCTTCAATAAACTGTAAAATAACACAGTTCATTTTTGAATATTTTCATATTCCTATTTCTTCTTCTATTAGTTAGAATGTATCAAAAGCCATTATTATCATCTAAATTATGTATGATACATTAACTACACCTTGCACTTCGGCTATTAGCCGATACTAACTGCTGGCTGCACCTAGTTCTAGCCGGCTAGAACTAGGTAACACCGCACTTCGGTTATTAGCCGTAACATTATATTTATATATATATATATATATGTTACGGCTAATAACCGAAGTGCGGTTATACATAGGTGTAACCGCACTTCAGCTTCTAGCCGTATATATATATATATATATATATATATATATATATATATATATATATATATATATATATATATATATATATATATATCATAAGGTTTGGGCAATAGGTAAATTTTTGTTTTAATTACAATGATATTTTATTTTACGACTAAATATACGCCACTTTACGTTTTACTAGTTTTCTCCCCGTACGACCCTTCTGGGAAATCGTTTACCACCTGCAATATTTCCACACCGATACAACTTAGGGACCTTCATAAAAAGAGCCTACTCTTTTCTAAAACGCCGACAACGCACCTGCAATTACCCTGTTTTTGCAGTTGTTCATGGGCGACGGTAGTCACTTACCATCAGGGAAGAAGCATACTCGTTTACCCCCTCTTCTATAAAAAAAAGTATTGATTTAATAACAGCGATTGGTTCTAAATACACTTAATGAAACTTTTTATAAGCTCTTGTAAAATATTGTCCCAATCTTCTTCTTCTTCTAAATTCTTCACTAGACAGAGTGACGACCTGGTAAGAAATGCAAGGAAAAAGGCCTGACAAAAATGAAGGGCACAGGGCTAGAATCATTGATGTTTAGCAGTGGTCCTATTAAGGAATGTAAAGGTAATGATGGTGAAGCTATTATAGAATGCTCAAAATCACCGAATGCTTAGTAAAGTTTCGAGGATCTATGAGACCCTTTTTACTGGAAACGAGGCATTCTATATCAGTCCTCAGTGGTAACGCGTCTACATTTTGATTCGTAATTGAGGATAAATTTAGAGAGTCTATGGGCTACAGCACCCACTTACCATCAGGTGGATTCTATAAAAAAAACATGCATTGTGAAGGAAGACCAGACAAGCATAATTCAATTGTTGTATATAAATTTGTATCTATAAATAGCTGATGTTTTTATATTGTGGGGTCTGATCAATAGTTCTTAGACAGATTTTCCAAAATCAGTCGACAATGCCTTCTCCAATTAGCGAGAAACATCAAGTGTGGGGTTCTGCTTTTTCGATAAAAAGGACATATCTCCTTTATATTAGACATATTCATTTAATTTTGGGCTACTACTGCTTTTAATTATACGTAACACGATATGTTTTACTACTGAGTTAGGGTCACTCTATAGCGTATGTATTAAAGATGCATAGTAATATATAACAACGGATCCCATTTTAACCCTCGAGAGAAATTACAAATCTACTCGTATGATCCTTAGCATTCACTTACCCACCTTATAGTTAGTTAATGTTGGCTATGTGATAGTTTGTCATCCGAACTTCTATGAAAAAAATGTATTTTATTAACATTGAGATAAAATATTTTTTTAATATTTACTGAAATTATTCCGCTCATATTCGTAATTAATATTTTAGTAATTTATAGATAAGGAAATAAATAAATTTTGTATTGTATGTAAAGATTTGGATCAGAGACGTTATAGCTCGCATCTTTTAACGATACTAAACAAAGTAATATTATATAGTCATCAATGATATTTTATGTTAAGCTGTATGGTCATCAATTCATTTTTTACGCAGCCATAAATTTTCGAATCAGAATATAAATTAAGTTGAAATTTATTTTAAATTTATTAATGATGACTCCTACGCTAATCCTAACTCTCGAACAAAATCATCTAGAGCTGCGGTCGCTAATCCGAATGCAGAGCGTGGCGGTTATGTCGAGTTCTTCCTGCCATAAGAGAGGCTCTTATCCAGAAGTGGACTATAAACATGATTGATACCAAGGAATCGTAAGTAAAATAAACATAAAATTGAAAATATAGATTAATTAATCTGCAACAGTATAATTTAAAATATATGAATATAACATGCAAACAAAACACAGGAACTTTTATTACATAATAAATTTGTCTTAATTTACGAACTATTGAATAAACGTAAAACATTTAAACTTGAAGCAGCAGTGCAACTCCCGCTAAAGTCCACTTTGAGGGCTTATCCTTGGTCTTCAGATTGAACGTCCACACGTACGTGGGGCCACGGGTTCGTGTTTTGTACACCGGACACTCGTACATGTTACGTAAATCTTGTTTGTCTTGTGTTATCGCCTGAAAGGGAGGTTATTAGTTATGTTATAGTATTAACATCATCAACTTGATCATTACAGTCCTTTACACGTCCACTACTGAACGTAGACCTCCTTTAAAGAATGCCACAAAGCAAGATCCTGAGCCATGATGATTCCTGCATATCGTCTGAGGGGTCACACAACGCATACCGGTACATGGCTGCCACTCGAGAACCTTTCTTCGTCATCGGTTGTCGCTTTTTCGAGCTATATGGCCGGCCCATTGCCACTTCAGCTCACTAATCCGTTAGGCTATGCCAGTCAATCTGATACTTCTGCGGATATCCTAATTTCTAGGTTTATTACGCAGAGAAAGCCCGAGCATAGCCTTCTAAATAGGTCGCTTAGCGACCTTCAGCTTCCTCATGCGGCCAGCAGTGAAGGACCACGCCTCAGATCCATAAGTAGTCACATGCAACATGCACTGGTTATACAATCTTATTTTCAAGTTTTGGGGTATACCTGACGCGAAGTTATGTCGTAATTTCCCGAAAGCTGCCCAGCCGAGTTAAATTCGTCGATTGACCTCTCGGTCGAAGTTGGACTTACTTAGTCAGACTATTTGTCCCAGGTAAACATTTTTTTTTTTTTTTTTTTTTTGTTTGTGGGTTTTTTTTGTTTTTTTTGGTTCTTTTACTCGTCAACAAATTTGAGCTTAGTGCGCCCAACAACTACCAGCATAGGTGAGACATGGACATTACACATGATCTTTGTTTAGTTCATGCTAATCTTAAGACCTATCCATTGGGAAGCACTATTGAGAAGCAATATTGATTGATTCTGCCATAAGGAATACATCGTCGGCAAATCGGAGGTGAGTGATGTACTTGCTATTAATGTCCTTTCCAGTAAAGTAGCTTGAAACCCTCTTCCAAAGCAGCGTTGTAGAATTTCGGGGATATACTCGTATAACGTCACCCTGTTTTAAACCTCTGAAGTTAAATTGGCTACGTACTCTGGTTTGTACTCGGACAGCGAACATAGCCCTACTGTACAAACACTACAGACACGTCGATATACCGACAATGAACTTGGTACCGCTGAATGTACTGTAGCACTGCGCAAATTTTAACGGAATCAAAATCTTTCCTATAGTCCACATACGCAAGACAATTCATAATGAATCTCGAAAACAGCATGTACATGCGGCTCAAAAGGGAAATCGGTCTGTGGTTCTTCAAGAGATCATTTCGCCTTGCTCGAAGAACAAAACCACCGCACTTCTGCTCCACGCCTTCGTAGTACTGCCACCAAGGAAGACGGGAAAAATTCCACCCGTTTTCAGAAGCTTCGCTATAATTCCATCATCACCTGCGCCTGCACCTTGTCGCCTTTAAAGTGCTGGAGAGCCATTCTAATCTCGCTCAGACTGACGTTCGGGATATCATCGGAATAGTGTCGGATAAGACTTGCTCTTGGATCGTTAGTCACACTAGCGTGTGGCTTCAACATTGACGTGTTCAGCTACCGCTATCATCCCGTAGGCTTCGTAATGCTGCGGCTACCGTTAATTATCGCGTTGATGGACGTTGAATGTAGTAATGTAATAATGCGATAATTTGACAACGACATTAACAATGCCGTTTCCCGTTTGGCGATTAATCGAGTGGCGGTACATCAAAGGATTAACGCGCGAATTATCGTGTTGAAGCGGCCACACTACGTTTGTTTGTCTCATTGTGCACGGTAACGACAGAGGAAAACAAACCAGAAGATGAGCAGCACTGTTTTTCTTATAACAACAAGCAAAAAAACTGCGGTTGCCAACCTGCCTGCTTAGCGTGGCAGCTGGCGAATATGAAGAGACAATCCAAGGGGAGGCCTATGTTCAGCGGTGGACTTTATTAGGCTATAATGGATAATGGATTGATTACCAGTTATCAAGAGTCTTAATGATTAATATAAGTAAAAAATTACAACCGAATCAATCAAAATTAAATTACGACACTATTAAACATACGTCCTATGTTAAGGTATTGTAACACGTCCCGCAAAGTGCCTTTACTTCCAGTGACATCCGCCGTAATGATAATAATTGGCCACCATAGATTGTACGTCAGTTTATACTATATCTATGTTGCCTGCGAACATAATATTTATAATGGAATTTATAGCTACATTGAAATTGTTTTATTAAATAAAATGTATCTCATATGTCTCACAATTTCTTTCCTCTCTACTATTTTTGTCTTAATATATATAGCAATGTTCTAGCTCTAAATGCTAAATCGCACGGTTTAGTTTAACAAAAACCTTTTCACTTTGCTTCGCAATAATTTAACATTATACAGAAGTCATTTTTTACAGTAATTAAAGCACCATCCATACATAAATCACCGCCTATTCACTGCTGAACATAGGCCTCCCCCATAGTTTGCCTCATAAGGGTTATTGCCAAAGTTGCCACGCTTGGCCACCGGGTTGGCAAACGCAGTTTTTTATAATTTTGAGTTGTTATCAGAAAGAAAGTGTCAGTTTCCCACTGTCGCCTCTTACGATACTCGCTGAAAGACAGGGCAGTAGACATTCTTACACCGCCACTACACGGTGGAAATAAAGCACGGCGTGGATTATCTTGCCAATATTGAACATGGAACCAATTAATAATTGTGAACCGAACAAAATACTGGAATAGCAGGAAGTTAATACGTTAAAGATTTGAAGGCAATAACAATAACCAGTGATATTCATAATTATACAGTGATGTTTAGCAATAACCGGCCAAATTTGTAGAGAAAATTTAGAATAAGTAATATAGGCAAATGGTGAAGAAAATTAATTAAAAATATCTTCTTCATCTTTTAAATTCAAAATGCGTGATAATGCATTATTTTAACTGATTGTACTACGCGCGCACACATTCGTAAGGGTCGATCGGTAGGCAAAAACGTTATTGCCCATAAATCACATTCAATTTGAGATAATTTCAAATAAAAGTAGATGCCTTATTTACTCGTATTTTCAAAAACTGTAATAACTTTATATCATTATTTATATATTTGAGATAATGTTTAAAATTTGGCTACTCTGAAAAATAACCCTGTATACCTAATAACAAGTCCACTGGTGAATGTAGTCTGGAATCTAATTTTAGTAGTATTTACTCTTACACTGACCCTGACATTAATAACAGGCATTGGCGGAAACAATTCTTTAAGCCTTGAATCCATAATAATGCCTGCTTGTACATCCCATCGAGCACCCTCCATGAGCAAACCGTGGACATAGGCACCATCACGTTGAGCTGACCTGGAATCAGCAATCCTGTCGCAGGAAGAGAGGGATTAAGGGTTAATATTCAGCAAGCAATCAAGCAAAAAGTAAAAGCCATTTCTTATGAAAAAATATTATTTTATTTCAATTGAAATTGATTGTTGATTGAAGAAAACTTAATAAATGTTATATGCTTTTAAAATCCTTATACAATAACTAACAAATTAAATTATTATAATAATTTACATTAAAAAATGTACATATGTCATGTCTATAATTCTAATATTTCCTTGCAGTAACTTGGGCAACATATAAGCTACTTTTAATCCGGTTACGAAACTTAAAAAAAAGGCAAACGAGGATTACGTATTTTTTCTACCTTTTGATATTTTCCATTATATATAATGAATGTAAGTTATAAGTAGGATAACGTACCTAGTGCTTTTTTCAAATAAATACCGTATAAACAAATACATTTTTAAATAAGTTTTAACCTTTGAGTATTATTAATTCTTGAGTGTTGAAATACGCTGAATATTCACGTTTAACGTTTTCAAAACAGCGTCATCTACCATACAATGTAAAAATCAGTTATATTTTGCCTTCAGTTACTAATTATTTCTTAATATCATTTGATTTAAGTAAAGGTCGATGAAACTGTAAACTTACTGTTACGAGCTTAGAGTTCGTGACAGTAAAAACTGCCGATTGAATTACCAAAACTGACACTTTAATTATTGAACACCAATTAAAACTTAAATTACACTAATAATTATTCATACTTAACACTTCAGTTCACTTTATTTCGCTCCAAAGCTTCGCTTGTATCACCAATTCAATACTGCCCGGTGGCGGGCTTCAATGCCTTTATATACGCCTTTTTCACCGATACATCCAGAATATTCCAGCAAATACCGGCCCCCGATTGACCAGATGCAGAAAGTTCGAGTGTGGAGCAAAGCTTAGTTCTTCTATTCGATACTAGATGGTGCTATTGGTTGAAAGTTCAGTCATGGCATTTTCTGGAAAGCTCTCCTCGCTCTGTTCCCCGACATTAGATGGCGCTAGTGCCAGGTACCAGACATCAACTTAGGCGCGCAAAATTATATTTGTTGTACGTGCATGAAGGATGAACTTTTAGTTTTTTTTCTAATTAGGGTCTGGTACGCGCACATGGTGTGTTTAATTAACATGTTATTTGCAATTTTTACATAGAGACATAGAGTGAATGGAGTTCTTTATTTTATTGTGAAATTCAGAATGCGTAAACGAAGACACTTATTCATGGCAACACTCAATACTGTGTTAGTAGAAGTGGCAGCAGAAGAAAAGAAGAAAGAAGAAGTTTGTTTTAGAAGGGTGAAAAATTGAGTGATATGAGAAAAGTGCGGTTTACAAAATGGTTTGACCACGATTAAGAAATAAATGCATGGACAAGTAGAAATAATTAATGCGGGAACAATGACAAAACGTGCTAGTGCTAATGAAAAAATAGTGCTAGTGCTTTTACTGGTCACGAGACATCCCAGTCCAGTCCTCAGAGGAAACAACGCATAAACATCTTAATTGAGGATAAATTTAGATGTACATCGGCCACAGCATCCAATAACTATCAGGTGGACTGTGTGCTCCTTTGTCACGCTTTTACTGTAAAAAAATAATATTTTGCAGAAGTGAGTAGCAGAGTTGCCAAGGGACATTCTATAATACTGTTATGGTGATATTGTTGCGCGCCACAATTAATATCTGGTGCATGGCGACACTAGTTACCACTAGTGCCTCCTAGTATCGAGTAACAGAACTAGGAGAGTCAAGATCCTTCTAGAAATTTCCATGAAAACACTTTTTAGAACTATCGACACCTAGTCAGTCGTGACCTCAAACCCCAAGCACGTAACAGTATAGTGTATTAATTTCTTCAGAGATTAACTCACGTGAATTCCTCTTTCATTTTCTTAGTGACGTCACACTGTAGGCACATTTTATCCAATGGCAGTTCATAACGACGCGCTGTGCTTTGCATAATTGCAGTCAACAAGCTCTGCGGATTGAAGAAACCAGCCAGCCACACAGACGCCGGCAACTATGAACAGTTTAAATTCAGTTTCCGGGGAAGATTTTTTATTTTTTTTTTTTTTTTTTTTTCTTTTGGTCGGATCTACGCCAAGTATTTAAATAAATGTAATAAATCTATAAATAGAAAAAGGAAAAAATTAAGACAAACAATTGCTTGACAATAGAGATTAATGTAAACATTTATGTTTCTCTTAGTTCAGAGTTATCAACCATTAACAACAACAATGAAAATAATAAAAACTACGTCATCATCATCATCATCATTGCAGCCCTTCACAAGTCCACTGCCGAACATAGGCCTCCCCCAAGGTATGCCACAAAGCACCTGTGTGCTTTGTGGCAAATCATAACTACATAACAGAAGTTATTTAAACTACTAGTTGTATTTTGGTTTTTCATTCTTTCATTAGAGTTTATCAAATCCTTGGATAATTTTCATAATAATATCCTCCAGATCCAAAATTCGGTCACGACGTCCAGTCTCAAAAAAAATTACGAATACGATTATAGTGCACAGGAGTATGAGCAAGCACAAGTGCACTATCTATCCACTCACTCTCAAAATTCATTGTAACGGCAATCTGGCACGACCGCAGTGTGGTCGGGTGTAGCCCCTCCCCATGCCCCCCGTGCTTCGGAAAGTACGCAGGCAAGGGCTTTGCGTACTTTCCGAAGCACGGGGGTAAAACTTTCGAAAATTTCTTGTTAGAAAAACTCAATAACTGATTTTTTTCTCACCCAACTGGGGATTCGAACCCAGAACCTCATGATCAGCAGCTGAGTTTTCGACCACAGGACTAACGAGTTAGTTGAAAATGTGCCAAAGCCAAAGCCAAGCCAAAGGTGCCACTTGGCAGGTGTGTTGTCGACAGCAGTTTTTTTATTATTATCAGTGGTTATCACGGGGATAATGCTGTAGGTCTCCTGTTTCATTTTTCAGTGCCATCGCTTACGTCACCCACGGGATGATATAGGGTAGGGGATCCTCTTACGCTGCCACGACATGGCAAAAAAACCCACTAATCTATACAAAAAACTTTCGAAGAAAAATCAATGCGATACATACAACGAAATCAGTAGCCCAAGTTTCTAATTCCCGAAGGCGAAGAAGTAGATCAACGAACCAAGCAGACAAGCCCAATAAGGAAGGGTATGCTTTATTAGCCCAGATGGCGGGTACCTGAAAGAAACCATAAATTAAATCATTTTTAAAAATAAAAATGTTAAAGTAAATTTTCCGTAACATACCTGGTCCAAAAATAAAGCGTTCTCCAAGTCTTCCATATCGGATGTAATTGTTAATTCTCCCTGTAAGAAGCAGAACAAACAAGTAAAGTAAAGTAAAGTAAAACTCAATGCGACTGGAGAGCCAATCAGCGCGTGTGAACGATACACACAGCACAATCATACGCAGTATTACAATTATATCAAAACGTCGTCGCGCAAATCGAATGTTCTAGGCTATTCTCGCGACCCCACCGGCGCGGTCTCACCGCTCAAAGATTCCTGCCGACTGGGATCTGGAACGCTGGCAGCGCCGCACGCGCACAGCAAGCCCCCCCCCCTTCCCGCGCAATGCTAACCGGTTCCTCACTCCGGGACGCGCGCCCTGCATGCTTCAAATGCCACAACTTGGCGTGAACAAGCCCCCGTCTCGGGTATAAGGACTTATGCCCGCGAGCAAACTGGCAAACGGGATAGGGTCGCGACGCCACGTTGCAAGACCGAATCTCCAACCAAAACCTCGGCCACTAACGCGACGGAGATGCGTTCTTGCAACCCCAACCACCGCCTCAAATCACTGCCCCAGTGTGGGCAAGCCGGAGGGTCGAATTTCCATTGGATGCCATTCTTCGCAGTACCTGTAATAAGTCCTGTTGCTGGACAGAAATTCGACGACCTCCTTCAAATATCTATCCGTGCCCCTACAATTCGTTCCGCAATCCGACCGGATCAGGTCCGGCAAACCGCGACGCGATACGAAGCGGCCCAGCGTGGCCACAAAGGCTTCAGTGCTGAGGGCACTTGCAAGTTCTAAGTGGACGGCCTTAGTGGCGAGGCACACGAAAACTCACAGGTAGGCCTTATGTTTACGCGCTTTACGTAGATTGCAAGACTTGACGAGGAAGGGGCCAGCAAAGTCGGTTCCGACTCCAGCGAATAGTCGGATGGCCCTGACGCGGTCGGGTGGTAAGTCACCCATCATCAGCTGCGATATGGTGGCCTTCAATTTATAACAAGGTATGTTCTTAAAAATGACGGTGCGAATGGTGGCGTCGGCCAGCCAAAATCCAAAACTCCCGCTGCAAATTAGCCGCATGCTGAACATGATGGTGAGTTACCAGCAACCGAAGCATAATAATAAAACACAAGAAAAAAAACACAAGAACAAAAACAAAAAACAAAAGGGACACATTTTAAGAGCTACATCGTAAAAATGTAAAATGTCACAAACTCTGATAGTAAGCTCTACTAACAATCTTTCAACATATAACGTTGAATGTAACGCTCGATGCGCATTGATCAAAACAGATAAACTAAGCAAAACGATAAACATAAAAGATAACCCTTTTTTTCCCAAAATAAATATCTTCGACAATGTCAACAAAATGTGAAAACAAAAGGAGGATTAATTTTTATTTCCTTCGGCACAAATAGTTACTCTATTTCAATTTTCTTTTCAACAAAGCAAGCACAAGGATGAAACCTCGGCCTTGAGGCCTGGGACAAATTCGAGGTTGCAGGAACCCCGTAGTACCGGTACCGACCAAAGGGGGGAGGGTGGTACTCCAGTCGCGGCCTCTCAGCCAACGGGGGTGAGAAGGATCTCGCAGACCGCTGAGTGGCTGTGAAGTTCCTGTCCACACGCTGAGGGGGGTGACGAACCCCCCACCCCTGAGGGAACGACCACCCGACTAGTCGGGGGGGGGACCCCCTTGAAAACCAGGGGCACGGTGGCTGGCAGGGGAGCGACGAGCGTCGCCCGACAGAGGGCGTGGCTGAGCGCTCCCGCCCGTGGGGGTTGAGGGCCCGGCAGAGCCCCGAGAGGAAGCGCCGTTCGCACCCAGGCACAAAACGGCATGGTGATGGCCCTGGCAGTGCGGACAGGGCCGCTGGTGCGGGCAGTCTCGTTGGAGATGCCTTTCCAAACACGAGTAGCACCAGCGGTGCTCTTTGGCGATGGTTCGTCTCGTTGGGACCGGCTTACCCAACAATTTCGGGCACAACGTCACCCGGTGATCCGATTCTCGTGCGATGGCATCAGTACTAAATACTAATTACCATCAAATTAAATTCAATACAAATTACTACAAATACAAATTACTATTTATCAAATTAAATACAAATTACACTACAAATACAAGTACACACTACGGTCGGTCAACAAAGATGCCTCGCTCGGCGACCAACCCTTCGGCAATTAATCTACCATAATTATACGATAACGATAATTCCACGATTATGTGATAACGATAATTATCTACCAATCCGACGCGTGATGGTACCTAACCTTAAACTACACTCCCGCTTGCGCAGCCTAAAGGGCTTGGTCTCTAATTCTACCCACCGCTAACAAACAAAGTAAGCGAACAAAGAAAAAGAAAAGAAAAAAATATATTTTTATTACGTATCGCGGCCGGGAGTGATTATAAGCAATCAATCACGCTCTGCTACCAGAAATGTTACGGCCCTGAGTTACCCCGACAAAGGTCGATTGAATTAGGGCCCATCGTAATCCAACTCGACTAGTAACAGAAGGGAGGGCCTCCAAATCGCCTATGGATAATTAAATTATAACGGCTAGATACGCAAACACAAAACTTACCGAATTCCAGAAGTGTAGGGTCTACTACAAGGTGGCGTCAGGGGCAAGTAAATGGTAGTGTGTGTGTAGTGTAGGAAGGTGTGTCTAGTATAACCTGACGTTACCGATACAATCAACTAGCAGCACCACGTGCGCCGACCGCTCCACAAGACGCCCCCCGCTATCGGAACTCAAGCCCAGCGTCACTTAGCACGAACTATAATCGCGCGCAATCTACACCCTGATCACAAAGTTTAATGTTCAACAAGAAGGCAAATTCCTTCGTTCACTTTAACTAATTTATTTTAACCTTAATTAACTACACAAGTCACTCGTCGATTCAAATTAATAGCAATCTAAGTTAATTCAATAATTCAAAATCAAAAAGCCTCGTTGTCACGTATATTAACGACAAAATACAACACCATGGAGGCCGTCTATAGATGACGCAACAATTATATCAAAACTCGCGACCTCTAAATCGACCCGGTCGTCGCGCAAATCGAATGATCTAGGCTATTCTCGCGAACCCCACCGGCGCGGTCTCACCGCTCAAAGATTCCTGCCGACTGGGACGCTGGCAGCGCCGCACGCGCACAGCAAGCCGCCCTTTGTCGCGCAACGCTAACCGGTTTCTCACCCCGGGACGCGTGCCCTGCACGCTTCAAATGCCACATCTTTGCGTGAACACGCAGTAATGTGTAATAGGACCAATTATGCGCAATAACGGTCAACGCTGAACTGTCGTGCCGCGAGTTGTAAGAAGCAGTAAAATTCAAATTATTTATAGTGGAGTGCAATAAACAAATACAAGTTTTTACTAGGTGGAAGGATTCCTTTCTGTCTGGGATTCCGCCTGGATACAGTCCTCTTACCTATTTCAGCCGTCTGACAGCAGTGCTTGCACTTCTGTATTCCGGTCTAAAGGAAATAGAGCGTTAGCATAACCACAGACTGGGAGCCATTTCATCTCAGATATGACAACGCATCTGTAGCCTTTATTGTTTAAAGTGTAATATATTACTAATAAATCTAAAATATGAACGTTGTTATGTTATCTCTCTCTCTCTAAAAAAAAAAAAAAAAAAAAAAAAAACGAATTGGCTTCAATAAAAAATCAACATCATAAAATAAGATTTATCGAACCTTTAGTCCTAAGTCTAATTCCTTCAGTGACCGCTTCATCTCTCCTGTTAAATTGTTCATTCTTTCACACTCCTGGAACGCGACGATCACATACGGCGTGCGTTCCTCCACTTTACCCATAATTTCTACCATGTTGAACTCCTCTGGAAGCTTCTCCATTATCTCATCAAGCATTTGCTTTACCTAAACATAATTTTAAAATATAAGATTAATTTAAACTTTAATGAAAATGTACAAAGTAAATAAGAAAAAATCGTCAGTCATATTATCAAAAAAATTACAGATTGTTACTTTAAGGTAAAAAATGTGACTATTTTTTGAAACGTAATTTATTTTTTAAACATTGTCGGTTAGTATTAGATACGGGATAATATTATATATCAGTTAGAGAGAACGTCACAATTATTTTTACCTTGTCTTCTCTAGTAATTGTTGTTGCGCCAGAAGCTTGAGCGTCTCTTGGCTGCATTTCAAAAATAGTTCTGAACAAATTTTCCGAAGTAGTAGTCAGAAAACCTATTTCTGCATTAGGATGCAAGCCGTAAAGATATGGTGATTCCGGGGGCATAGCATCTTCTATATACTGGTGATAACCGGAGTAATCTGTGTTAGGTGGCGCAGGAAACCCTGGCGCTAGTTGCAATTCTCCGTCAACCTAATCACATAAATACGCAAGTTATTTAGATTCATTTAAGACTAATTCAATCATAAAATTTGTACCAATATTAACGTCTTTTTAAAAAAAGAGCGTATAACTTACAAGATCTGGTTGCATTAATTCTTCTAAGTAAGCATTACACAAACGTCGATCCCAGTCGTCTGTAATGTGTCCTCCATACATTATTTCACCGAAAAGATATCTTAAATCCTCCCAAGGAACTTTAGAATTAGCTTCTAAATAATTGTATAAGACAAAGACACTTATAGTAAGGTCACCTGAAATAAGTTATTTAATGTTATGATAATCTTTTTTATCATAAGCCAATTTCTGCCTATTATATTCCATCTGATGGTAAATAGTGGTGAAGCCTATTTAAATTGCCTCGTTATTCAAGTACGACTGCTCATCACGAGGTCCCGTTTCTAAACCCCGGATCGGACAAAATCAGTTATTGTGTTTTTCTATCAAGAAATTCGATGTTATAACCCGAAGTCAAGAAGTTGGCGATGTTACCCTCCAGTGTCACAGAAAGCAAGCAAAACCATTAGAGATGATTGGCTTGATTATGAGGATGAGAGAATAGAGAGTGAACCTATGCTTGCGGACACACTCGTACACTATAATCTTGTCCTACGCAGATGGCCAGTCTTCCGCGATACCTGGCCGCTGTGACTGAAATTCTGTTTGGAGGACATTATTATTCACGGCGACGGACAATTATTCTATTCCCTTGCTGTACGTATGAATAACGACGAAGCAAACCATTTGGTTCAAGTGTGTAGCAAGAAAGAGATGGAGGCGGGCCGAACATTTGGTTGTCCGATGGTAGAAGGGAGTGGACGGTATTCAGTCGTACAATTCCTGCGCACATTAAGAAACATATCCTACAGAACACTGAAAGGCTGGCTACTTTGCACCTGAGATTGAAAATGGTAAAATTGGTTTTGGCCATATTGAGAATTGAGGTCACCAATAAGCCTCTTAGGACGCCTTTCCATCGAGTTTTAAGCTGCTAGGTGACAATTTGCATACCGTGTGGAGTACTGTTGCATCTTCATCTATTTAAATTGAATACATATTCGGTGAGCCTATCAGTTACCTTGTAATTTCAGAACAAATTGATCGATTGAGGTCGTATTTACACAATATGTACGTTTATTTGTTAAACTAGAAGACAATGTAATTCTAATAATCTATTATACCAGACTTATGCCCAAAAACTCAAGCGCTGCTCAATTTGAAGATGCCGTTTAGTCTCGTTCTGTTTCCACCATTATAAATCAAAGTCACTGTGACACCACAAGACTACCATTCCTAGTTAGAGTTTTATACTTCAGGTGTATTGTGGAGAAGTGACAAAAACTTCGTATTTTAGATGCAGAATATACAATTTAAATCAGTTTAAAACCTACTTACCAACATTGAATGGATATATTTTGTTCCAACCCTGAGGTCCGAATTTCCTCCTCTCAGCTACTACAGCGTGAAAGTAACATAAGGCAAAGAGTATCGCTTTAAATTCCGCTTCCTTGCCACACATCTCCAGAGTTTCTTGATTGAAATTATCTAGAGCTTTATGAATGTTAGCCTTAAAAATTAAAAAGTAAAGTCAGTAGTAAAAAGTAAGTATTAAAAACCTTATTTTACGTAACGCCCTAATTTTACGGCTACCTGCATGCCCGTCGGTGGTTCATTAGTGATTTTTATACTAGACTCCAGGATACCCTGCGGTATTATATGGGCAGTTGGTGTGGCTGCTGGTTCAGCTGACATAAACAGACGAAAATTGTTGTGACAACCTGAAGCGAACGTCTCCATTTTCTTCTCGAGACTTGGCAACCATTTCTTTACTAAATGAATGTTCTGAAAGTTTAGGTATTTTATAGTTTTATCAAGATTTTTCCCAAAAAACATTAGTTACTTTTATTGACTAAAATATGTTAGCAGATCACAATGACTTTACTAAAAAAAATTAAGATAGAATATTTGAAAGAAGCTCTTTACATTTAATTTAAGAAGGTTTAATGATCTAAGTGTATCATATTTTCCTTATATTATATTGATTTGAAAACTCATGCTTCGGATTAACGTGACGTTGCAGTACTTTAGACTTTTTAAGCCTTTTTAAATAAACAAAAAATACACAAATGTAATTATTGCGCAAACACAAATATAAAAATTGAACATTTGGGCCAGTGTTGTGTAAAGAAAAAAATGCGAATCATTACAATTGACTTGAAAAATATGAAGATCGATCGAGATAGTTTAGTTTACGTTTGGCTGTATTCCGCAACTCCACGTCTAACCGGGTATTTTGCTTGTGGGCAGGAATATTTTAATTATTCGAGGCATGAAATTTTCCCAAAGAATTCCAACAGCCCTCTGATGTTGCAAGCAAATTCAGGGAATGATTCCGGCATGCCGAGATGTTTAGCCCTATTTTTTGCGACCTCCGGACATGCCAGCAACACGTGTCCCGCACAGAGGACTATCTGTAACACCTATAAGTATAGTAAGTAAATATTTGTTACAAAAAGGTCATGCCCTATAATAGCACTTGTTGCTATCCTGATCTGTGGCTTTTGCAATCTCATTAGTTAACCTTAATTAACCTTGGTTATACGACTGTTTATTTCTAGCAGGGCCTCCCTAGCTTGCCTACAGTCCACTAGATTTTTTCAAAGCTGAGCGTATAGATTAGTAAAGTTTTTACGTACAGTAAACGAACGTTACCAAAAGGGATTGGTATGATCGGTTCCAGCCCTAAAACGGCCGTACCGATCCTCTCCTGGCTAGTTCATCTGCTGCGTCGTTGCCTCTAGATCCACTGTGTCCCTTCATCCATTGCAGAGTTGCAATGTTGTTTATATACCACATTTAATCGTTGATGGCATTCATATATTAAACCTGAGTTCACCCACATTGCAACTCATTGCTAGTAGTACCGCCTTATTGTCAGTCAGTATTCTGACGGAGAAATCTTTTACCTTTCTAACATCTATTGCTATGCCAGCTTGGATGAGACCCATACATTCTACCTAAAAGACTGTGTTGTGGATACCCAACGGTGTACATATTGAGGTCTTCCGAGAAAGTTTCAGATCCTACGCCTTCATTTATTTAAGAATCATCCGTGTAAACTTTGAACTCTTTTGGGTTTAGTCCCTCCAGCTGGTTGGTTTTATTTAGTTGTATCTTATATTTCTTATCGAACACAAACTGTTTGGAGATCTTATTGTTGTAAGATAGGAATTTTTGAGAAAATTCTATCAATTATACCTGTATATGGGACTCTACTTTTACTCCAAAGATTAAAGGTTTTGAATCTAATGGAAACTAAATTCGCATCATGTTGTATGTGTAGGTGTTTTTGATGTAGTCTTACGTAGTACGTAACGCTGAAGCTTTTTTATAGTGGTTGCTTCACTTGTTTTGGTCCACCATACCAGATCCGTATGTGATCATGTGCCATGTTACAGCTTTATACAGCCACAAATCGATCGAGATACTATATCGCTATTTAAACATGTACCTCGCAGAGATTCCACAGTGAACCTGAGATAAACTTATACCAAATAAAAATGTTTATTATTTTAGGTTACGTTGGGATCACATTTACAAATTCTCTTTTCTTGAACGAATTAACCACTGGACCCGACATAAAACACAAATGTATGAAAACTCGTTCAACCAGGTGGAGAATAACGCAAACAAAGATTTTATTACGTTAATATAAAACACAGATACAAAATTCGTAGAAGTTCACTCCATTTCTTTGCTTGATCGTAGTCGATAAAATATATCGATGAACGAATGAGAAAGAAAAGGCGTAACGTAATTAAGCTGCAAGACAAAGGAAATAAAGGGATAATGAAGGTGAGGTAAGCTTCCGGTATTTAAATTTTAATTAAAATAAAAGAAGCATGACATTGTTATGGACTTTTTATTCAATTAAAGTTATGATAAACGTCAAATTTTTTAATATAGTTTAAATTATTTAAATAGGTTTACTGACTTTTATTATGTATCATCTTCCTTAAAATGTGTTTCTTAGAATTTTTTTTGTTCGCTTGTTTTCTTGTATAAGCAATTCTAATATTTAAATACTTTTCAGGAACGGCTTTCGTTAATTCTTCGACGTGATTCACGTCGTCGTTTTCAAATTTGTAGAAATGAATGCCTTCGTACAATGGAAGTTGCAGCAATGTTTTTGTTACTTTCGGCAGGAGAAAGTCTGTTGTGTAATCTTTTTTTAGTCTTTTATTCTGAAGACCCTTCCTAAGTTCGAGTTAGCAGTGCTAACAAATAGCTATGGTATCACTTGAGGGAAGTATCAGTTTTCCCTTGCCTTTATGAGCAATGAGACTGCCTTCATTGGTGTCATTTTCTGTTTCTTTGCATTATTATTAAAACAGGCAGTATCGAAATGTACACTGCATATGGCGCTGTGTTTCGTCGGTATCCAGATTTCATCTCTACGAACTGCTTCTACCCACTTTCTCTTCCGAGAAGGGTCACTGGGAAATCTGAAAATTCGTGTAATTTATGTGTTTAAATATTTTAAGTACAGATACTAATTATAATTTTTGCATTTATAATATTTTTATTTAATTATAAAAATTATTATTATAAATTTAATGACATCAGTTTGTAGGATACTGTTATATAAGTATTTTTAAGTGTTATTGTATTGTACAAATAAAATCATCATTCGTTCGGTCATATCGTCAAATATCGATATATTTTTCGAAATGGTCAAGCAATAGTCAATGTTAAATTGACTCACTCCACAGTTTTAGTCAGTCGTTCTGAATGGTATAATCCAGCCATTTTGTGATGGTTGTCTGATGTCAACAGTACATAGAAATATCGACTACATTTAACATAGTTGGATAATACAGAATTTTATTTTACATTTGATTAAATTTTGTAATAAATAACAATAAATGTAATAAAATAATGTACTTACAAGTGAAAAGAAATAGTGCTGCTTCCGTCGCTATAGCTTTTACACCATTTAACTGAACATTTAGTCATATTTAGGAGATGTTTTGGTGACTAGTAAGTGCTTGAGACTGACGCAAAAACAAACGACCAAGGCTAGAATTTCCTGGTTACCGACAAGACCGGTATAGGTACGTCCGCTTATATGTCGGGTCCAGTGGTGTACACGCGGTAGCAGAGAAACCTTCAGAAAACCAAAGCTATTTTCGATTGTTACTGAGTTTAAATATTATTTTGCACTTTATTATACATTAGAAAAATAAACTAAAGCGATCAATCCATGCGCTCGTGGCCGCCGAGGGTCGAGGTGACGCTTTTAAGCCTACATACCGTACTAATATCTTTAAAATAAATAAGTTCTGATCGTATGATGCAACATGATGTGACACAGGTTTAAATATTGAAGTATTATAAGATAATAATAATAGATCCTTCATCAATAATTAACTTGTGCTAAGTAATTTATACAAAAAAAAAATATAATATAAAAATATATTTTTGTATAAATTATAATTTTATATTTGCAAAAACAAAACTTATTCACGTTGCTAACTCTCAAAAGTTTAAAATAAAATTCATAATTTGGAAACTAAAATACCTGTAAAACAACCCAGTGCCCTTTCTGTATCGCCTCATCCATTGCTTGCTCCGCTACTATTTCTTGGCCCTGGCCCAAAGAGACATTATGAAAATTTCCTATATCACTTGAGAATCCCATTACTTTTCCTAAAGCCTCGACGTCCTTGAGGGGGTTCACACCAGGAGACAGAATAAAGAATATTGGTGTTGTTGAACTCGTTTCTTCGAATGATTTACTAAATTGTACTGTCCTATTTTCAACGTATTTTGAGCCCATTCTTTCTTCTATGTATGCGCTAAAATGTTTTGTTTTTGTTATTATACTTTAATAATGATTTATATGCAAATTAAAAGTTGTATTTAAAAAATAAAAAAGTTGTGTAACTCACGCCACTGCATAAGTCATCCTGTCAGGTCGCAATGCTCTAAGCATACACAATCGCTGTAACGCTGTTTTGTTCTTCCATTCCTACAATCAACCAAATCTTTTTAGGTAAATGCAAAACGTAAAGTACATGAATCTTAATACTATCTGCTAACCACGGGTCTCGCACTCTACTCTAGTTAAAATTAGCTGACTACACATTTTTTGAAATGTTTCTTTCTTCTTGGATTCCATGACATCGGACCCGTGGGAATTGAACTCGTGTTGCTCGTATAATATGTGTGATAATCGCTTAGGAACTAAATTACCGTGGGTCATCTGTTACTGTTACAGCCTATAAAAAGTCTAGTACTGAACATAGGCCTCCCCCATAGATTACCACGTGGGGTGATTTTCAATAGTTGCCATGTTCGTCAGGTAGTTTGGCAAAACCTGGTTTTTTCATCATTGTTTTGTTTCCGTTTGTCACCACTACGGGCCTTATAGGATAGTAAATATTAAAAACTAACCGTTAGAACCTCATTATTTTCACATGTTTTAGGATATGGGTAAGCCATTCTATTTAAAACGTTTTTTATAAAATGTTTAACTACCTGTGGAAACTTTTCTCTTTCAGGACATTCCATTTCTACTATTTTCTTCCATCGTTTTGGTGAAGTCTCTATATCTCTGTCAAGATTTCGAAACTCATCTTTACTTGCAAGTGAACATATTCCACCCCAACTTGTATTAGACAAAAAGTCGACTGGACTCGTTACGTGGGGCTTAATTGGGAATCGGAGAAAAAAGTCCAATTCAGCGGGTGTAATTTCTTCACTCATTAACAGTACCTTTATACGATAATAAAAGACGTTTATATTAAACAACGAAACCAACTTGTAAAAATCAATGATAGATGAACATAACAAAAATGACAGTTACCTGGAAAGTCATCTGTGATGCGAAAATTAATTTATCGCACTCAAAAAGGCCTCTGGATGTATATTGAAATACCGAATAGCTTATACAATCGATGAGATTCCTTACCCGTTGACTAACTTCATCAGCTGGTTCCGCTCGAGAAATGGCTTTTTGAAATACGACACTAAAAGCCTATAAGTTAGATAATGGATGTGAAATGGAAAATTAAATCATTATTTTATCACATTTAATATCAATGGCGGTAAAAGCATACCTTTAATGAAAACTGATAAATTGGATTAATCGTATTTAAATCATTTAGTATGAAATAAAGTAAGGAAGCTCTTGCTGATGCTGGTCGATAGAACTCCCGCGCTTGATCAATTTGATACGATGTGACTTTAGCTTCTGTAACCTACAAATTGTAAGAACGACAATGCTATTATTTTGTGTCAAAATATATATAAATTGTTTATACTGTATGTTTTTACTAATATCGTATGGTGGAGGCATAAGAAAATCTATGACCCCATTTTATTCTGTGGGTACCGTAAGTGGTTACTATGGAAAATATTAGATAATTTGATGTGATATGAACATCTCGCTTACGCCAGTCAAAAAATACCCAAACCGACGTCACGAAGTAGCGTCAAAGATGCGAAACATCTAGTTCTGCCATCGTCAATCCATCTAGTGTAATAATTAAAGCAAATCCTTCCATCAACGGGATGATCATTTATTCAACAGTGATTTTTTACAGGTTGATAATGAAGAAGAAAACAAATGAATAAATAATAAACTATTAAAAATTAACGGTAATTACGAACTTTCTTTTCAATATCTGCCGCTGTCTTTTTAGTTGTTTCTAAGTTCTCCACTAAAGCTGTATCACCCAAAATATTTTCACCAGCTGATGACAATCTGGATAATAAGTCATCTTCAAGCTCTTTTAATTGAATCTTAAACTCATTCTGTTGTTTTGTTAGCTCTGCTTTCAATTCCTCAAGGTCAGGTCTTTCAGCTTTCACTACTTCAGCTAATAGTTGGTCTTCTAAACCATCCCTGGTTACAGTAAAATTAACCAAGGTAGTTTGGGCTTGCATTTCTGGTTTATAATGTGGATTTGCCAATTTCGTATGGAGTATGAGTCTAAAATTTGGACTATATTCGACTTCTTTGTCGCCTATTTTTATTGCTCTGTAATTATAAAATAGGTTATTGTACACAAAACACATTAATCACAAATAGTATAACGTTACAAAAATTGTATGATGCGATTTGCGATGATGATTTGCAACGCTAATGTTTTTCGTAGATGAGATAAGGCATTTGCTTGGTATTTGAAATGTCACATAAAACTATACCCATACCTTCCCTTTTTAATTAAGTTTCTACCAAGTAATGGATCTAATACTGGATCGACTGTTTCTCCTATGTTTTCAAATAAAACTGTTTCTCCTTTTATTATAGCCTTTTCAATAGTATCAAGGTAGCCTTTGTGTCCAAGTCGTATCACACGCAACTTATCACCATACTTCTGTTTGATCCACTTAACCCCCTGAAGCTATAAATAAAATGTTCGGAATTAATACGTTGTATAATAATAACATTGACTTAATTGTTACATAAATTACATATATATTATTACCTGAGGATCAATCATGAGAGGCCAACGGTCTGAGTTAGAAAGTATTGTAGCGTTTTCAGTGCTCATTCTATCCGAAGGCAAGCCCTCATTTTGCCACATCGCTATAGTAGTATCATCAGTTAGCATTGACAAAGGATCTAAATCTTCAGTTATTGGAATTGGTGGCTTAAAACAATAACATTAAATTCACAATCATTTTCTAAATATAATACGTAGGTATAAGGTCGGGGAAAAAGTTACTTCGAATTTTATACACAAATTCCAGACATTTTTATGAAAGTTGAATTACATTTACATTATAATATATATGTGCCATTTTGTTCGATAACTTGTTGCCATCTTGTAGTTAGTGACATAATACCGTTGCCGTAGAAATCTTGAGATTTTTAATAAAAAAATGCGACATGTATTTTTGATAATTTTGTCATGATGTTAATCTAACACTACCCAAAGAATTCTGAAGAGACCGAAACAGGTGAAAATCTGAGTGTGCAAGGTCATGGCCATATGGTGGATGCATTAACACTTCCAATCCAAACTTTTGCTGAGTGGCCAAAAATGTGTGAGGTCTGGCGTTATCATGATGAAAGACCACTCCTTTCTGTTAATCAATTCCGTCCATTTTTTCTTAATTTCCCGGCGGTAAAAGCTCATAATAAACGACGCCCTTACAATCACACATATCACCTTATTGCGTGTTAATCCGAGTTTCGCTACAATCTTTGCAGTTTTACTACCCTTTGACTATATTCTGTTTCGCATATCCTTTGTCGTAGGTGATCCATTTTCTTTACCAGTGATCAATCTTTTCAAAAAGGGTTCGGTTTCATTACATTTCAATAGGCAATCGCAAAACAGTACACGATTCATTAGGTTTTTTTTCGATGAGCTCATGTGATATCCAAATATTGAGTTTTTTGTACAGGCATACTTTTTCGAGTTTTGTGATCAATCCTCAATTCCTCGGCTATGTCGTAACTAGGGTAAGGTGGGGCACAGTGTTACACAGGATACACTGTTACAATGCACATATATCCGGCTTTGTCTCTAACTTTTTTAATGTTGGTATACAGTTTCGACAAACGCATAAGCAGCCATCATAATACAGTTATCATTGCCACAGGTTGTACCGCGTTGGAAAGTTATCGAAAAAAATCGAATTTGGGTGATAAAACGAGAAAAAAATAACGTTAAAGTTTTCTATTTTTTTCTCTGAAGTTTTGCATTTAGGTAAGTAATAGTTATTTTCCTCTGTTTATTGTATATTAAGCGTTAAATTATCGTTCATATGGTTTTTGTAAATATAACCCAAAAGGCTCATTTGAATTTATTTTTCTGATTGCTTAGCCTAGGTCACTATATTACGGAACACTGTGTGACGCTGTAACAATGATCCCCAATGAGCTAACTCTTGTTCTTTTGTAGGTCTATAAGAAAATGGTGTGAAATCATAGGAAGAAGACGGATTACAGAATCCATAGTGAATATGATATGAGAGAAGCAATTCTGATGGTTCAACATAGGATGATTCTTCGAAAGGCAGCAAACGAAAAAACATGTGAATTTCATGACATTGCAGAGATATGTAAAATTGAAAAAAAAATTCAGAACAAGAAACCGGGCATTTGTAACTTACTTATGCTAACAGAGCCGTATTCAGTGCCAATGAAGAAAACGCATTAAAGGAATATTTAATAAACTGTTATAAGATGGGCTATGGTCTAGATATGGTGGAGCGTAAAAAAATTGCTTACGAGATGGTTTTTTACCACAATTTGAAGATTCTAAAAAACTGGGAAGATAAAAAGATGGCAGGAGTTGACTGGTTATATGGATTTAGAAAACGGCATGCAGATTTAACGTTGAGAAAACCGGAACCTTGCAGCTAGATGCGCGCAACATCAATTAATCAAAATAACGTGAATATATTCTTCAACAATTTGGAAGACGTTATGCGGCGATGCCCTAGTTTCGCAAACGGTAGCAGAGTTTAATATTTGGATGAAACTGGAACAACTACGGTCCAAAAACCTAAAAAAAATTGCAGCAAAGGGAAGCTAAACAGCTGAATAAATCGTGTTCCATTTTTCAAAATTTCGTTAAATTCATTCATTTTGGCAGAGAGAAAAACAATTGAAAAATGAAAAGTGTTTTGTAATTTTTAGTTTTCTTTTTCTTATGTCCTATATGTATTGATTAAAACCAGTCAGTAACAAAATACGAAGAAACTTTTTCCCCGGTCTATTATATTTATTCTTTTATATTATTATTTTACAGTGTGGATTCACTTATGCTGCTGCGAAGCGTCCACTCCACCTCACATCTTATTCCAGGTGTCGTAAGAGGTGACTTACAAAATTGCTAAAAGATTTTGTGGCTTCCTATAGATGGCAGCATAACCATCTTGTATTTATACCACGTAACATATGAAATATCAGAGCGTCAATTGGAAATGGCGTGTAATGTGTGTATGCTGATAAATTGTATGATCCAAATAAAATCATAATAAATCTCAATATTAAAAGTTATGAATTGTAAGTTTGTTAGTATATCGTAATAATTTAATAGTCTAACAATTAATTCGCTGCACACATTCCAATTTTCAATGTAATTCGTTACATTAATCAATGTCCAAAGTTCAAAATATAATTATTTTATAACAAACTTGTTCATATTACCTCTAATGTCTTTAGAAAAACAAGCCAATTTTTATGTAATAAGTCAAGCCTGTATTGCTTCGTGAAACATCCAACATAGGATATAAAAGCACATACAAGAAGTACATCACCCGGTAACGTTGTACTCTGTTGCATGTAGCTGGAAATATAATAGATTTTAAATATTTTATATTTCAAAATTTAATTAGGTACAATTTATATTAATATAATTATTCAAAGTATATACGAACTTTGAAACCGATTCTGCCCAACGCACATTTTCACTTGCAAGTCCATTTACTAATCGATTTGCAAGCTGAATAGTTCTGTTAGTTGCATCTGCCTCCTGTTGACACTTTAGTTTTTCTAATGTTGCTTTTTCAAAGTCTGCTGTTAGAGTAGCTAACTGCTCTTCTAACGACTGAAGGTAATAATGTCACGATGTAAAAAATAGTTAGTAAACATACAGAAAATGTTCACAAATAATTTAATCACGTTCATTTCAAATCTACTCGCACTATAATAAATTAAAAATTATAAATATACTGACCGCGACTTTAGACTTAATTGATTTTAGTTTTTCAGTAGCAGCTGCTAACTCAGCGTTAGCTGCTGCTAAAGCTTTTCGTTTAGGTTCTACATCACAAAATACTTCGTAAAATTTAATGATGTTAATGACCCAAGCACAAAGTCCAGCAGCTGCAGCTGATTTAGATCTCACAAATTCTAGAAAGAGGAAAAAACATGTTTTTATTTATCTAGAAAATTACTTCAATAACTAAATAACAAATAATAATAATAATTTACCCGGTTCGAATTCCGAATCTTTTAAATATGGCTGAATGGCTTTTATGACGTCTGGATGTATATTTTCTTTGTCGTAATGAACAAGAGATTCCAAAAATACATCTACTTTAGCCATCATCATCTGAAATAATGATAAATGTAACAAACGTCATAAGTAGAAATTAAATGCTGATCTTTATTATATTTTACCTTAGCATTTTTCCAACTTCTATCTTTGGGTATTTTACCACCAGGAGCTAGTAAAACCATAACAGCAGCAGTGACATTTGTAACAGCACCAGGAGGTGAGCCAAATGATTTAAGTTCTGTAAGATTGGCCTTATTTAAAGTATTTAATGCTTCTTGTGCAGCAACAAGCGCAGGTTCTGCTTTTATCAAATCTTCTTCACAGTCTTTTTGCTTCTTTGAGACTTCTTCCGCTATAACCGCTACTTTTTCTTCCTCTTCATCAGCTAAACATAAAAAAATGTCATGTAATGTGGGTATTTAAAATTATAAATATATCCAAGTCAAAAAAAATGCAAGGAAGTACATAATGTGTTAAAATAAATAACATTATAAATGCTATAGAATACCTAAGGCTTTTTCACTCTGAACTTTAGCAGTCTCAATTCCCACCATCTCTATAAGTTTATCAGCAGCCTCATTCTTTTGTTGTAATTCTATTTCTTGTACTGCCAATTTTGCTTTTAACTCGTCTACTTGACACGCTGTGCTACGCAACTTTTCCAAACCATTCTCCAACCTAAAAAATATAAAAACTGAAAAATGCTGCCAATAAAGTATCCATTATAATATGATACGAGTATGTATATACCTCGAAATCTTGGCTTGAAGTTCATCAGTTTTTTGATTAACAAGTTTTGCATATAAACTAATTTGTTCTAAATAGCTTTTTGGTGTTGTATAATTATATCTTCTTTCATTTGCCAAGTACGCTTTAGATATTGAATTCACTGAAGTATGAACATATGCCATAAATCTTGATACAGAATCTCGTAACGTTATCTAAAAATATTTTGTATTGACTAAATAGTAAGCTGTTTATTTCGATTTACAAATAATTAACTACTAATAATAGGCAATTGCCTACCGGTAAAACGTGAAGTCCTTCCAAGAATTTAACGGACACTGATACTAAAGCCTCTTGAGGCCATTCATGGAACCAATTAATTGAAGTACAGTTGATCAAAGCTGGAAATTTTCTAGATCTAACTCTCAACGTTGAACCAACAGGTGAAAAACACAACACAACTTTTAATTGTTTACGAACTCTATCAATAAAAAACTTCCAGCATATCTCGCGGGTATCAGGTAAGCCTGCGCCTTTTACCTGAATAAAAACATAAATTTCGTCTATATCATTAAAATAAATAGAATTCTATAATGAAAACATCTTCAAAACCATGTAAAAATATTAAACTGAATAATATGAATTTCTACAATATTGGACAAAATTGCCACCTTTGCTTACTTATCCCCTGATCTATGTTAGTTTCTACTACTTTCACAGCATACATGCATTCATTCCGATTCTTAATCGGGGATAGATGTAGTAATTGTCTACAGATATCAACATCCACTAACCATCAGTTGGATTACAGAGAAACTACCGAGCACACCTTTGCTGAGCGACCTTAAGCTAGAGTCAGAAATGTTAGATCGATATATCTTTATTAACAACACCTACTGGTTGAACTATTTTTAATTTTATTATTGTCGTTAGGCATTAAGTCTAGAATGTAATTTTCTAAGGAAATTAAGATAAGGTTACCTCATTTCTAACACCGCCAATTATATTTTCGATTTCATCATCAGGAAAAAGATCAGCCACTTCACCCGACGCCAATAAATCATTAATCAACACCAGAAACTGTTCGTTGGCCACCTGGGCATCAGTCATCAGAAACATAATACCAACGTTTTTCAGACCCGTTTTGATATATAAACCTGACAATTCATGCTGAAAGTAATCATGTTTTAGATTTAATAGTAAATGATCTAGAATAAAATTTTAAAATTCAAAAATAAACTTTTGTGGCTGCAAATCCAAAAAATGGTAATATATTTAAAAAATTGTAACAAAAAAATCAGTGGTAGCTCAGAGGCTAAACGCTTTCTGTAAATTTTACAATACAGGACCAACTCGGGTCCAATGCCCGCCACCACCAATAAAATTATTAAATTGCAGTTTTAAATGCTGATTTTACCACGTGTCCGGTAATGAGGCAAAATATTGTGCGGAAAATTGCACGCCAAAAGGATAAAACGTTTCTAAGACCTGTAAACACTTACCAAAGCAGCATCCTTATCAGAAATGGGGGGAGGCTTGTGCCCAAATCATGAACCATGTAGAGACTGTATAAGAATATTTACTACCTCATATCATCCCGTAGATGTCGTACACCAACAACAACAACAACAAACCAGGAGATGGGCGGTATTGCCAACCCGCCTGCGAAACGTGGCCACCATAGCTAATACACTCTATGAGGCAATATATGGGGACCACCTATGTTCAGCCTTGGACCTTTGATAAGTTGTACCGGTATATGCCTAGAAGTTCGACGTACATAGGCCGTTGCTTTTGCTTTTTTATTGGCAGGTGAAATGAAAAGCTTAGAAAAAGATTTAATTAACAAAAAAGGCTGGTAATATAAATGAATAAATTTACACCACATGGACATTACCATTTGATAGTTTCTAAATATATACCTTAAGATCTGAAACCCCATATCCCTTCTTCAGTTGTATTTGCAGCACTTCTAAGCTGGATATAAATGCAGCAAGCCGTGACAGTGACTGCTTACCAGATCCTCCAACACCAACTAGCAATGCACTTCCCCGTGGACTTTCGAGAATTCGACTTATTCTGAAATGCCATAGGATTTATTTCTGAGCGATTATTTCTGTCGAAGGTTTGCCATAACTTACATTACACGCAGGGAAAATGATTGCCATCACCGCAAACAACATGTAATTGTTTATTAAAATACGACACGAAAACATCGTTAGTAAACCTGTACTTCTGAAAGTGACATCTGAAGTCAGATAATACATACTGAGGCAGCGTGATGAACACCTCCCTGCTTTTTTCCATCGGAAAAAGAGGAATCAGTGCAACAAAATTTTAATTAGCAAAATCACTCAGAAGTCTGTTATAACATTATAGTTATAATACTTAACTCCGGTTCGTAATCTACAAGTATTGATTCAAATTTCAATATGATTATGTATTATGTAAGATATGACTTTATAGTAAATATACATAATAGCCTATGTAACCAAAACAAACTATATCGATTTGGGTAATCAATAAACAAGCTACATTTAAGGTATATACGGCGTCGGCCAATAAAGTATAACTTACCTAAGACATACTCTTTTAATAGAAAGGGAATTCTTCGAAAAACTAAACAGTATATAGTTATTTTACTGTTACCTGCAAATATGCATCATTGCATCTTCAAATAGTACTAAATTCATAGCAGCTATGAGATCGTTGTAACTGGCCATAGCTTCTGTCAGAAGTTTATTGAGTTGATCCCAAGACGTAATAGGCATATATTTAGGCTCACCAATCCCACCAGCAAAATGACAGTAGATGTTAGGACGTTCAAAAACTACACCCTCGTCGATATCCTAATGAAAAAAATATTTTAAATCTATTGTAATTTGCTTAAGATCTAAGAAAGTATACATCAATGATTTTCATACAACGCATAACATATTATGAAACTCAAAACATTTGTTTAAAAGAAAATTTATTAAATGAAAGATTTCACGTAATAAAGAAACGTTGTATAGAAGCAAATTTAACATTTACTAAAATGTTATATTTTAATTGTGGAATCCTTAGTCTATAATTAATGTTTTGGCAATTTGATACGCTTTAGGAATTATATAGCATGTTAAAAATCCAATGTAAAAAACCCTCTCTCTGACTTGCTAAATGAATATGGGCCTTTTTATTCCTACACCCGTTAATTATTTTTGATTTCGTTTTACATCCATCAGTAAAATGCGCAAGAATTACACCTGTGTTTGAGAGTTCTGACCTTATGCGATACACTTATCGAAAAGATGAATCATAATATCGCGAAAGCTGCCTGGCAGGTTGTATGTATCGTTGTTAGAATTTTCAAGATTTCGCTTATCTACTCAAATATGTTTATATTATTCAGAATTTGAGTCTAATGTAATGGAGCCTCTACTTATGTAATAGGTGTGGAATGAATCTTAATATACTTTGACATAATATACAAAATATTAAACACTTACCTCGAAATTTTTCTTACATATATCAACCTGCATTTTTAGAAAAGCATCGATATCTTTATCTTCGGTGAGTTTATCGCCATATACTCTATGTGTTTCATGCATCCATAATCGAATTAAATCAGAAGGATTAACCAGACATTCATTAGTACTAAATAAGAATCCCTAAAAGATTTAATATTTATTTAATATTCACTTGTGTTATTTCGTCATTACTATCAATGTTCATTAATTTGTTACATCCTATCAAAAACCCAATGCCAAACACCGGCCTCCTCAATAGATTACTTCATAGGGAAGATGCTATACCTGCCACGCTTGGCAGGCTGATTGGCAAACGCAGATTTTATTACTTTTGGGTTGTTATCAGGAATATTCTGTTACTCCTATCTTGTTTGATTTTGCTCTGTGGCCTCTATGACAAATTAAACCAACTAAATAACATTATTACAGAAGTATATTTGAATTAAATACCTGGAAGATGTTCGACAAATCTCGTAAATTAAATATGTAGTGGAACTTAATGGCAGTCGGTAAAAATATTTGAGACACCTTATTATGCAAAGCTATAGACGCTGTTACAACATTTGCTAAAAGTAAGAAAAAAAATATTTAAATTTATTCATGTAAATTACACTCATACGCATGAAATTAAATTGTATATTTTATGTAGTAGCATTGCCTTTCTACCAAGGAGTCAGTTCAGGTAGCTACCACCTTCTCACTGTGTGTACCTCGGACTCCGTGTTCCCGAGTAAAGAGTATAGAGAAGCCAGTATACAGGCTGTGAAGCTTTCTACTTTAGTTGTTGGAAAACATCTGTAGCCATCTTTTCTTTAAGTTAGTTGTAGGTTTCCACGCACTGTAGCCACTTACCGTCGGGAAGACTGTAAGTTCACTTGTCACTTCTGTTTTTAAAAAAATACAACTAAAATAACTACAAAATAAAAAATATAATTACTAAAATAACTAACTAATAAAATAGTGAGTCTCAGTTTGGAAGTAGTATTAATTAATTTGGAAGAATCACTTTTCGAACATATTACATATTACAAGTTCGAAAAATCTTTAACAAAATCTTAAATTCCATTTTAAATTTACTAACAGAAAATACAATTCTTTTTACGACAATTTTTTAAAGTTTAATATTGAAAAGTTAATAAAATATTGAGAATCGCAGTAATACTTACTAGATAACTTCGCAACTTGTGCATTTATTTTTAACTCAGGATTCATTAAGTGTTGACTCAGTATAGAATGATAAATATTATTCAAGGCTTCAGTGTTTGGAAAACTGATGGCAAATACACAGAAGTGCCTTTGGAGCCTTGGGTTTATTGTGAAACTACCAGACGTCGGGTTCATACATGACACGTATTGGGTATTGTGAATATCTTTAAGGGTTAGCTTAGTTCGATCGTACCAATGATTGTAATCTAAATGTTGTCTTATTATTGTATGTGGTTGGACGGTGCCATAAGAATCTACTTCGGGCATATTCATATCATCTATAAAGTATATGAGAGTCTTGTTTCCAGGCGGACCATAGTTTCGACCGGCTTTTTTCTCTAAAGGTTTTTCTAAAACCTTTTGTAGCATTTCTGATGAAGTATAGAAATTGAATGGAACAGATTGCACGGCATATGATTCTGGCAGGCTGTAAAAAATAAGTGATAAACACATCAAAAAATTAAAAAAATTCTAAATTATTTAATAAAAGGATATACTATTATAACGATGAGGATAAGGCTAATCAGACTTAGATACCACACGATGCCTTGCGACAACACGACAATGATTTTGACTTAAGTAGATTTTAGACTACACTATAATATTAAGCATATAGTATATAGCTCTTAGTACGATAATATCGCGCACCATACAAAGTCAATAATATATAGTACCGTAGTGTGAATGTGTCCATAGCAATGTATGGTGCACATCCGGTACATTTGTGATATACGGCTAGCGCCACACGCCGCTAAATGCTTCCCTTAACTTAGTGGACAGCATAAGTCCAGGAGGTCTTAAAGCGGTCACTACTTAATACATTGCAATACAACAATATGTGTTTGGCATAACACCACGCTAAACGATCCACAAAACGATCGATACTGAAATTTTGCGCCTTGCATGACCTCCTTGGCCTATGGCCTACTTGTTTTAACAAAGTTTTATTTTACATACCTCTGCAACTTTTCGCTGACCAAAACTGTTTTACCACAGCCAGCACCCCCAACCAACATAACTGGGTGCTTATTTTTCATCAGTAAGTCCAAGAAATACCTAATTCTTACAGTTTCTGCTGTAGGCACAAGTACAGCCTTGAAATATTTAAATCAATAATTAATAAAATATTTTTTGACAAAATAATGTTTAAGGCAATATTTTTTTACCTGTAATGGTATATCCGAGTCCAATTCAAACTTCGTAATCTTCTCTGTCCAAGGTGTAAACTGTTTTGTTTCGGAGTCAATATAATAATCGAAAACAGTGCCTCCTTGTGGAAATTTAATAGTTTTAAACTCGTTAACCCACCATTTGGTAAATTCTTAAAGAAAGTAGTTTTTTATTATTATTTAGTATTAGTTAAGGAATCAATATAACATTAATGCAAAAGCATGGATATGAAAGCTTACCGATCCTATAATCCACATTAGTATCTTGAAACATAGCAGAACCAAATGCCCACACACAAGCAAACACAAAGAAAATATCGTGCCATTCTTTCGGACAGTCCGCTGGTGTGTTTTCTGGTACTAGTAAACAGTTAAGTAAATGGCACAGCATTTGAACATGCGCCATATCAGCAATTGGGGTTATTTTCTTAAACCGATTTCTCACAGTTTCTAAACAAGCTGGGATATATTTATCAAAGAGTATGACTAAATTCGACTTTTCGGCTGGAATTTTTCTTGTTTCGATCCAACTGGTAACATATCTAAAAATATATTTATAAAGTAATAATTCGTATAAGAACTTAAAATAATTTTTTCTAAATCTATAAATAAAATCTTTTCTCTCTCCCCCTCTCCTGTTGTTAAAACTTTCATTCTGTTAGGTTTTCATGTAGTAAATATATAAATGATGTTTCTATTCTCAAGTAAAAGTTGAGTATAACGATTTAATGAGGACATTTAAACAGAACTCTTATGATTATTTCTCGAGGTTATTTGATAAAATGTATTAAGGATCAATAATTAATTTTAATAAAGTAACTTAAGATTTAATTATCAAATTAACGCTATTCTCATATATAAATAGAACCTTACGGATTCCAGCCTAGATCTTGTGGATTAATGTACAAAATTCCAGCTCTTGAAACTGTTGCTGGAGTAGCTGTTCGGAGGTTCGAAATTTCAAACATAAGTCTCATGCTCGGAGTCAATGCAATTCTTTCATTACTGGCTAACGTTAAAATTTTGTTATCATCCATCACAGTATTTAATGATTCTATCCACATAGGGTCTATGTCTCCATCTAAAACGATCCATTTAGGATTTTCTCCTACAAGATTTGCTTGGTCTCTCATAATTACTGAAAACAAGCCATCTTTCCATTCTCTCGTTGCCGGATTTATAATTCCAAATAAGTCGTCGTTACTAACAGCTTTTGGATTTAGATCGTTGTAGATAGGTTTCTTCTTTAAATTTTGATAGGTTTTAAAGAGAGTTTTCCAAACTTGAGTTTTTCCAGTACCAGCGTTACCAACAATAAAAACAGAATGACGAACTTCTAATAGTTCTTCTAATTGTACAACTTTAAGTATAAAATTATCTTCAGGTTGTAACATTAAATCCATTGCTGCTTGTTTTACGGTTCTTTCAAACTCTAGGTCACGCTTTCTTGGTACTTCAAGAGCAGGAAATAAATCCCCAATTAAACCCATAAAAACGGGCATATCATCTGTTACTATTTTGGGGATATTGAAATCACGAAGGGTCCTCATTAAAACTTCTTCTTCTGGTCTTCCAGGATCACCTCTCTAAATATATAAAATAGAAACTATGTACTCAACGAAAATATTATGTACAATTCAATTTAAATTTTTATTATTTTACGTACCTTTAAGGAACCAGCCACTACTAGTACGGATTTGATAGCTCGCAATCCCCAATCATAATGATCTTGCTTAGAAAGTAACTCTTTGCATAAGGTATAAAGGGTAATAAACTTCCTAGCGAGTATTTTAGCATCTTGAAAACCTTCCGCTACTAACATTATTTCGCAAATTAGTTCGAAATCAGGCACTACCATCGCGCATGGTCTAAACAAAGCTTTCAGGTTTTCTGGCAACTCCGTCCTACCAGCATAGCCAGGATTCATGGTAATAAAAATACCGACAGTAGGGACTAATACTATCATTTCTCCCATGAAATTAAAGTTTTTCTTCTTATCTCTGAAAATAATAGTAATTATTTATATCTTTTAAATGATAAAATTTATTTTCATGAAAATAAAATTGAAATTTATGAATGCATTCTTCATACCTTATAGCATCTTGAACAGATTTAACTTGAACAGCAACTACGGATAGCACCTCTACAGAAATTCTATTAAATTCGTCAAAACATCCCCAAGCCCCAGTTTGTGCTAAACCTTTATAAATATTACCACAAGACTGAAAATAAAGTTGAAAGCAAAATTTAAGTATAGGCATTTAGATTAATAATTTGTCAATAAAAATTAATTGATTACCTGATAGTCCATCTGTTCTGAACAATTAAAGACATAAACCATAATGCCAAGAGCTCTACCTAAGTCTTTAGTTGTTTCTGTTTTCCCTGTACCAGCTGGTCCCGCAGGACCACCACCCATAATTAAATGTAATGACTAGAAACAAATTACAAAAATTGAATTTTACATGACAATAGGGGTAAAATAAAAATGAAGGGTTAAAAGTAGTAAGTTGAACATGTACCTGGGTTAAAGTTATGTAACATCGATCGGTCAGTGGTGTTATGACCAATCTTGGAGTGTTTCCTAAATATTCGTAACTATATTTAAACTGAGCGTCACAAATATTTGCGAAACAATGAGATTCTTTTTCGTCCCATCTGAAAAAAACAACTAACTGGGAAAATCACATTTACAAAATATTATTTATTTAGTGAAAAATAAAAATAATAAGCTTATTTTCAATTTAGTGATAGTAATAAAAATTATAGGTATCTTTTAAAAAGTGTTCAAAAACCTGTGTCGTAGTTGAGATTGCCATTGAAACGCTGAGCCTGCCTCTATCTTTCCTTGAATGAGTTTACTTACTACATCTCTTGAATGAACATCTATAGTGCAAATTGTCATAATTTTTTGACGATCCTGCTTGCTTAATTCGCCTATAAGTAAAGTGATTAGGGTACTCAGTTGAGCCAATTGTTTTTTGTAATAATCTTTGAGAGCATTATCGTATCCTTCCTCCAGTCTCGAAAAAGCCATATTCACTTCTGTAGTCCACCAGATTTGTGAACAACATAATGATACTTGTGCCATGTAATCAAAGAGCCATTGCTCGCGAGGTTTCTCTTCATATGAAACAATTGCTTCTCCAAAATATTGACGAATGGTTGACCTCATAATGGCTTGAAGTCGATTTAACCAAATCTCAACCTGTAATCGAATTATATAAATAAACAACTAACAAAGTATTTACTAATCTTCAAAAATTGTCTGTACTTACGGGTCCTGTACAATCACAACCTCCATGAAACTTAACATATTCACCGTCTTTAGCAATCATCCCCGCTGCTGCTTTTTCTGCAGGCTTATCATTTTCGATAAATTTAAGTTTTGCAATGGAATCAAAAAGCTTAGTTAAATGTCTAAAACAATACATTTATATAAGATTACACAATGCAAAAAATATCGAATTCTTTTCACAAAAAAAAACGTGTTACGGTACCTGATCACTAATTCAGCTTGATTCCCGTTTGATAAAATGTCCAATAAATCGGCCGATGAAACAAAATAAAATCTTGGAAATGCTAATCTCTTTGTCTCCAGATATTCAGCTAACGCTTTTTCACAGATTATTAGATCTTTTTGTAAGCTATCAAGCTTCTCAACTAAACCTTCTTTATTTGTTCCTTTCACAACATTGGGTGTTTTAGACATTTCTTTTGATAAACTCTAAAAAATATATTAAATACAAGCTACTGAAAATTAAGAGATCGCCTAGTACCCTAATACATAATCTCAAGGTAAATAATTCAACTGTATAACACTTCCTAGTTTCGTAAGGTAGATCACTAGAAATGGAAACAACAGCAATGAGAAAAACTTCCTTATTCCTAAAAGCGACAATAGATTTTTATGAGATGAGGTGTTTACAGTAGCTTTTGACCATTTAAATTTAGGCGGATTACATGATGGTTAGTTTCTCTTGCCCTTATTAAATCATATTTGTATATATCCGGTAGGCGTTGTTCTGTCCTTTCCGGTAGATGGCGCGATGAGTTTCACAGTGAGTTCACTCTGGATTTTTTACAGTGTAAATATAGTGTTTATTAATAATCTACCACAACACCACTTATCGAGTCCAGTAAAGTGAAGTAAAGTAAAATAAAGTTACAGTCGGTATACGTCCCACTGCTGAGCACAGACCTCCTCTCACTTGTGAAAGGGTTTTAAGGCAAAGAAATGTCCGCCGCGCTACCCCAATGCGTGTCGGCGGACTTCGCATGTCCTATAATTTTTTTTTCTCAGACATGGAGATTTCCTCACGATATTTTCTTTCTCTATCAAGCACGTGGTAAAAGAATACTTAAATTTCAATTAACAATTTTATTGGTACTGGCGGGGATTAAGCCCAGATTTCTCGTGTACTGTGAAATTTACAACAAGTGCTAAGCCATTGAACTACCACGGCTCGAGATCTAATCCAGATTTTTTGATATTCTTTTTAGCACTTAAACAACATATCTAGAGAAAATGATTTTTTGGTGCATGATACGAGTATCAACATGACAACAGCGTGAATTATTGGATTCATAACTTAGCAATGAATTTTTTTTTTATTTCTTTCACTCAATACATTTTTGTCTTGATAAAACAATATAATTTGGTATGTGTAACCTCAATCGGTCAAATCGTTCGAATTACAAACGATCACATAGTTAATAAAGATAAATTATCAAATAACATTAAATTTAATTGTTCTGACCTTAAACTCTGCATCTATTCTATCAAATCTGGCTGAATCTTCTGGTAGTTGTTTTCTTATATCTTCAGAGCTCATAAAAATACTTTCTAAATGCGACCAAGTTCTTTGTACTTCAAACCATACCGTTATTACTTGATCAGCTATTGATAGCCTTTGTTGCCAACTCGATACTTCTTCCAGAAAATGAGCAATAAATTTTGAAGTAATGAGATTTTGAAGTTGAACCTAATGAGTGTTAAATAGTAAATAATATATTTCAAAACAATTAAGAAAAAAAATGGAAGAAGGGACGCACCTGGTTCTCTTCTAGAGTTTCAATCAGTTCTTCACTGGCTCTTAACAAAATACAACCAGTTCGTGTATGCACTTCTTGCTCGAATTCCATTCCGCTCCAAGTTGCATTGAGATCTTTTAATATTTTCTCCATTGACATTTCTTTCACAGCTTTATCAACTATATTTTTAACCTCCTCTTCACATTCATGCAAATTTAAGGCAAGCAAATCTGCTAGCGTAGTATTTTCATCCATAACAATTCTGACCTATATCAAGTAAATTGTATAACTATAATCATTACAGTTTAAACGATAACCCTATATTAAAATTATCAAATTGTAATTTTATGGTTTATAATTGTAAGTTTATAGTTTTCGTGTTATTTACATTGTTTTAGTTAAATTTTATATTAATTTATTAAAAATTAACATGCAAGAAAACATTCCAATTAAGCACAAAAATAAAACTGCATAATCATCTTGACACACTATGTACAAATCTCATCAAATAGTTACACGTTACATAAATACAATTTGTCAATATTATACTTACAATAAGTTCAGGCGGTAATGCAGCTAAGCTCTGTGAAATTTAAATGTATTTACATTCTCAAATAATATTACATAAAAACATTCCATTTTATATAAAATATGAACAGTCGAAATTAAATAAGCAATAAACAACATCATTTCATCACTTTATACACTTCAAATATGAAAACTAGATTGACATGCAGTACATATGCACATAAAATAAAATATTAATATTGATGCAAAACATGCTTCAATATAATAATTTTTAAATATACAATTCAAATGCACTCCTGTGAGATTTATTTACATGAAATTGTAAAATTTATTTTTATAATAATAATATTTACAATCTTTAACCTATTTCATATAAAATTTTATACCTTCGTAGTCCTCATAAGTTGATCCCAATGCCTTTCTCTGATAGCAGGATTTTGAAGCTCTGCTACAGCACGTAAAGACGTTAGCATATTTTTCACTGTAGCTTCTAAATTAATGTAAGTGTCCCAACTGAAATAAATACAAAATTAAAAACAAAATCGAGTAATATTTATAATTAAGACTGACTTACCTCCTCATTTCTTTATCTAATAATCTTATTTCTTTAGCAAACTTTTTGCATTCTATATCCATATTTTCGACATCTATTTTGCGCCATGGAGTTGTTTTCCAATCTTCGATACTTGTACGCACTATGTGTACGTAGTCCCAAAGTTGCTAATTAAAAAAATAAGTAGTGTTATAACATTATTTTAATAAACATATTAGTCGTTACACGTCGATACACGGTAACCAAATTCTAATAACTGCATTATAATTATTACCTTCAACATACGTAATTCTTTTCGACATTGTTTTAAAAGCTTAAATTCAGGAACGTTGACTTCAAATAAAGATCCTGACTCTTGGATATTTTTCATCTCATCTTCTAAATGAAAAACTTCATTATCAACTCTCGACATCACAACGTAGGGATCAACACAATCGTATTTGAAAAACTAATAACAAATATATACCATTCAATTATAATTTTTAAATACCATGAAGTCCATACCATGAAAATATAAAATGTAATATTTACATTATATCTTTTAAAAACTTCTCGATAGTAAGTGATGTGTACATCAAACATGGTTATCTTTTTTCTGATACATGCTACTTCAGCAGCTTGCAGTGGTGCTAATTGTTGTTTCACAGTTAGAGCCAATTTTTTAGTCGCCTGCCATTGTTCGGGTAGTTCCTGAAATAAATCAAAAATTTATAACAAAGCACATTCAACATTATTGCAAAACGAGAAATAAAACAGAATTATAAGCTTTTTTATTGAATTTCTAATATTGAAAAATTAATACTTTTTGTTCATATTTTACGCGTTGCCATACCGTTCATCAGATTGCGGTAAAACTTTTTAAATTCATTGCTTGCACTTGCACGAAAGTATATCCTATACCTTTAAACGAGCAATTCTTGTATATATATATATTTCAGACAAGAGTCCATAAATTGGTTAGTAACATAACATTATTATAGAATTATTGTTAGTTAAATTGCTTAAAAATCTAAGAAAAGAAAAAAAATCATACATTTTAACAACAATATCAATAATTACTGAAACTTACTTATATAAAAAATACATTTTATTATAATCACTTAAATTTTACATTTTAATTCTTATGCATGTGAATGCAGATCCAGTGTCTTAAAAGCGGAGAGTCCCACCTATCGACTAAGGCGCTTAAGATGCTATTAGAAGAGTCTCTAAAAAGAAGCGAGGCGCATCTCTTTCGCACTATAGCATAAAAGTCATCGATACATGCCTCCGTGAACATAGTAGATGCACTACAGTGACGAGCTAGTCCCATCAAAATCCTAAACGCATTGTTATATTGCACGCGCAGTGCACTATACGTATATATATATATATATATATATATATATATATATATATATATATATATATATTTTTTTTGTTTTTTTTTTAATCTCAATCTCGGAATCTCGAAAACTGCTCCAAAGATTTTCATAAATTTAGTGTCCAGGGAGTTTCGGGGGTAACAAATCGATCTAGCTAGGATTTATTTTTAGAAAATGTCTTTTTGTCCGTGTTTTCAGGCAATGAAAAACTGTTACAATATAAGAGAGTAAATTTTGACACTATGTTAATGATCGCAATAACTCAAGTGGATATCGAGCGGCCGCGAAATCGTAATGCCTCGGTTCGCGTCTTGTCTTCGGTTCGACTTTTTTCCTTTTTTTCATGTTCCCTTCTTTTGTGAGAAAATCTATTATTTCGAGCCCTTTTTTTAGTATTTTTAAAAAATACGAAAATTTTAATTAAACTAATTGCACTCATGATTTTTTATTCAAATAACCAATTCAGTTTTTTCTGTTATGTCAATAAGATCAAAAAATATTATTCATGTTTCATCAGTATGTAATTTGTATCTAAATGTAATTTCAAAAAAAAACCGAGCAAATCTTGGTCATCCAGGTACTATAATATAGCTATAGTACAATTTACTTACTACAAGCAGGTGGCGCGCGTATTGTAACGACAAATTTATTTCAAAGTATTATCATTCAATTTCAATGTTGTATGTTTTCTAATTAAAAAATATAACTCTTCCAATTGAAAACGATATTTCTACAATTATTTCTTCCGCGGCAGCATCGCGCCGGATGTTATGATAATAATACTTATTGCAAGTCATTGTTAATTTTAATTTACCACTAGTTTGGAAAATACGTCAGTCTTGGGAAAAACTAGTAAGAAACCCAGCAGGTTACGGTACGCAAGCACCTGAGTTCGATCTTCGTCGCTCATTTTATAGTCTCATATTTAAACTATCATTAATCCCTAAAATTTTCTTTAACCTTTATTTATCTATTAACTAGATTATACAAATGTTGTAATAAAACTATAAATAACTAATAATGTTTAAAGCATTTTTTTCTAAAATCAAACTGACAAACAAACTTACAGAAATATAGAACGGTAAAGATAAGTTATTACATCTTAGGGACAACGTGGTATGCCTCGCAGCCAGTAATTATGCTGACACTTTCCATACCCTCCCTTTAGACCAGAACACAATATTGCGAGCACTGCCATTTAGGGACAGAAATATGAAGAAGGTGGTCTCGGACGAATTCCTAAATAAATAAAATATGTAATGTAAACTTAAATATATTAATATATAAGCTTAATATAGAAATAAAATAAAGTTTTAACTTGTAAAAGAACGTTGACTTCTTCGGGTATATCCATATCATAAAATTTAAGCAATTCTATTGTTTCGGTTAAAGGTTGGAACATTTCATCTGTTGTTGTTGTTCTATCTTTAACATGCATCAAATATCCCATTACTGTAACTAACGCTTCGTAATTGCCTTCTGGTACGGGTTGTAGTAAACCTTCAAAAAAATTTTTAATAAAATAAAGAAATATAATTTTAATAGTAAATTTTTAAATTATAATGTTACGTTTTTCTTACCTTCATCTGCCTGTCTAATAAAATTTCCAAGGTCACTTAGACTAGAAATTACATTGTTCACTAAGTGCTCTTTATACATATTGCCCCATTTTCTCACAGTGTTTAGTAAAGCTTGCCTGAATGGCCTTATATCCACCTTTAAATATATTTAATAATATTTAATAAATTTCTAATAATAATGCACATATATTAATATCTAACATTCACTTCAAGTTATTAGAATACCTGAAACCATGAATTAAACACTTTATATGACTCCATATCTTCAATATCCAAAAAAAGATTCTCATATTGGTCGATTTGCTCTCTGAAAGCTTCCATTTTAGGAGGACACGGAACAGGCACTTGAACATCTTTATCTTCAGAACCAATTTTATCGATTTCATCTGGTGTCAATATACGTCCATATGTCAAAAATATTTCCATAACCGCGTCCCTTTCTTCGAGCCATAAATACGAGTAGTTTTCAAAAGTTTTACAAAAATCGTTAGCCTCTTCTATGACCTAAAATTTAAGGTAAGAGTAAAAAGCTGTTGAAGTATACGATCTTTTGGTTTTTAAAAAATATTCAAAATTACCCGCTCTATTCTATTGAGTATATCGTCTTTCATATCAATGATGTCAGTATTCTCCACAATATCATCTTCATAAGTCTCCAGTTTCTTGGGATCTATTCTTTTTACCAGGGAAGCCATTTTCAAAATATCATTTATAAGGTCATTTATCAAAGCCATAAAACCTTTCTCATCATCCAAATTTAAACTTGGGGCAAAAACCATGTCTGGTTCTAACAATTCCAACTGCGCTTCAAATAAAGGTGCTAGCTTGTTGTTTGGATTCATATGTTCAGATATGTAACCTAGACTAAAATAGTTAAAATTAATGACCTCGTAGTACTTACTATTCAGATGTATGTATTTTGAGAAAAAAAAATAAACACAACGAATACTTACCTACAAGCAATCGATTTTAACAATGATTCTTCAAACAAGGAGTCAATAAAGGAAACATACGCTAGCCAAATTTCGCTCTGTTGGTTATCTTGCATGTTAAAAAGCACCATGTTTTCATTAAGTAATGTTTCAATTCGATCGACTGTCGTTTTAATATCTTTATAGCGTTTATGAATTTTTTCTTTACGATCGTCTAAATTTAAAAGCGTATCCTATTAAAATTAAAACATATTTTTAGATGTAATAAAGACAATAAAATCATTAAGTGTCATGTATTTAGCCACTACAGAAAGAGAATAAGTTCACCTTTTTCTCTTCCTTTCTTTCAAACAATGGTTGCGTAGCCCACCCTTTCATAGCCATTTTCATTTCTTTGAGATTATCTTGTATTTTTGACATACGCTGGTATAAGTTTCCGACTAATTTATGTAGTTCTTCAAGATAGCTCCATAAATCTAACGACAAATTTTTATTAATGACTATAAAATTAACTAAGTCCATATTTTTACTTCACAATATTTACCTTGAGAATTCCAATTAAGTTTATTTTGTGCCATATCAATCCTTTGATCAATTGCTTTTATTTCATCTTCAACCAAATCAAATTCAACCTTCTGACTATCTTTTCTAATCTGATTATACCAATCAATAGTTATTCCTAGGTTAATCCTATATTGACGATAAGTTTCTTGTTTATCAAATAACTCAACACTTTCCTTAGGCAATATATTCTGCACATCATTGTTGTTTCTCATATGACGAACTTCTTTCATAAGATTTAAAAGCTGAAATATATATAATATTTATAGAAGGTATTATACGGTAACAAAGATATATTGCATAATAGAGCCGTGATAGCTCTGGTGCGAAGCGCTCATTGTATATTTTACAGTACGTGAGCGACCTGGGTTCGATCCCTGACGGCCGCAACAAATGTTAAATACTATATTTTTCCAAGGGATAAATTATTATCCCTTGATGTCTACGGAATAAAATATTTGAGAACATGTGAAGTACACGAAAACAAACTTGAGCAGATTAATTACTCCATGACTCTCTCAGAAATGTGTCCAGCAATGGATCGTATATAGACCCAGTCTATATAAGTTAAAGTTTAATAGACTGCAACTTAACTTTTTACTTTTTTCCAGTATATCCGTCCAATTTTAGGGTTCCGTAGTTAGTACAACAAGGAATCCAAATCCGTCCGTCCGTCCGTCCGTCCGCGGTTTCAGTCATGAAAATCATTTTTATTTTGAGTACCTACCATACAGGTGATTTTTTTCTTACCCTTCTATTCTATCGTGTGGAAGGTCGTTGGATAGATCTTTCAAATATATTGGGGGTGTGGCGCAATTTTTTTTTTCGGTTCATTTTTTTCATTCAGAGTCTGTTTGTGAAATATTTACTTTAAAGAGGTATTTTTGAGTCATGTGTCCTCACCCCCTACCAACTACAGCTCCGTTTTTTAGTGTTAAAAGTATGCAGGAGTAGTATATATAATGAGGTTAAAAGGAAAACTATCACAGCTAAGTAGGCTATATAAGTTAACGAGTAATTGTTGTCGACCAATTTATAAATTCACTTGGATTAGTAAACATTTTGTTACAATTCTACAAAAATGATCGAAAAATTGCTGCACTATAACTTTGTTATGTTATTGTAATCTGTAAAAAATAAACAATTTTTGAAAAAAAAAACGACTTGTGCATTACTAGCTTTACGTTTTCCTTTGCGGATAGTCAGAGAGGATCGATAGCCAAGAGACCGATCCTGACATACCACTTTCGCTTATTTTTAGTTAGTAAGTTACGCGGGCAACCCTCAGGGGGACCCTTTTAGGGTGATGGTGGTTTAGGGAAAGGCTTGTTACGGTCATGTACGTATATCTTAGAGTTGCATTGCAGAGAACTACGAGATGGGTAGGCTTATACATAGACTTGGCATTTGAATAATTTGATGTAGATTGTATTATTTTCAAAATTGAAAATTTTTAAAATAATACAATCATTTTTGATTACCACTCCCTATAAGTCTGCTTGAAAAATAAGTCCTTCAGTTACGACCATCCTATTTGGACCCATTTTAGTCGTCATAGCGGACAAACCACGAAATCACTTGGTTATACTGTCATGGTTATACATCAACATCATATGTTCATACTGTCAAGAGCTACTAAGCACTAAGTGAACTGAAAGGGGGCCGTTCTAAGTTCTCTTAGTGTGATGGGCAAGTACGGAAGCCTACATTGTGCGTGGCCCGAAACGCACTTGGCCGGTATTATTAATATTATTTCTTTTTAGAAATTATAGTTTGTAGTTATATATACAACAATTTAATTATTTTTAATATTTTTAAGATTATATTTTTAGTTTTTATAATTTTTGCACGAGATATTTGGAACTATAATCGCAAGTCTTCCTGCCAACCGTGTCGCTTACTGCACATCCTTCCTATAATGGCAGAGGTACCACGGACCTTTTCGGTTTAATAAAGAAGAAGGAGGTTCATTACAATGTAAGAAAAGTATTTTTTACTTACTGTTGGGCTAAAATTCAGTACTAAATCTGATCCTTGTCGTGCCAGAATCGGTTTGTTTGTGTTTTCCTTAATAATTTTAGGAACAGTAACAGCCCAGTCATTAAAATACTTCTTTTTAAATTCATTAATATTTTCAATGAGTTTTTCGTATCTCGTAAATAATTTAACAGCCTCTTCCGCACCCTTTATCCTGTAACGTAACCTAAGCTTATATATAAATATTTTAGAGTGGTATATAAAATAAAATTTTGTGTTTAAATTAACTTTATGATAGTTATTAGTTATTTTAACGATAGGATATTACTAAAAGTATACTGGAAATATAAAGAAGAATATAAGCCAAATAAGCAGCTTTCGCAATTTGCCCCACCCAGATGACTTACGGGTGCGGCAAATTGCGAAAGCTGGCTATAGGCTTGGTTATCCTTGTAGCCAGCATATTCATGAACAGGAGACCCCCGGCTATGGGAGGCATGAATGCGTCAACTTCCATGTGTCCATATTTCTGGTGTCTGTTTAACTGCTCCGTAAAAAGTTCCTGTGAAACAAACTTTAATTGGTATCTGTTTCAATCAGATCATATTTTGAACGTTTTTAATTAATTTAACATAACTTGCCTCACAGGTTTCTAGTTCTTTTTCAAGCATTACAATTATTTCTACGTATTTAGCTGTGAATTCATTTCTGATCAGTGGACGATCTAATACAGAGCCGACAATGTCGATTAGCTGAAAATGATTTCGAACATAATTTAGTAAATGTTTAGGGATTCAATAATTTAGTTTTGAAAACATTTTAAGTAGGTATATTATGTACCTTAAAAATAGCCTCCAAAGTGGAACAATTGTCAAAGGATTCAACCAATACTGTGGATAGTTTTAGATCCAAATCAACAATGTTATCTTGAAATTCTTTAAAGTCTGCATTAAATGTTTCATCATCTGGATCTAAAACGTCGTAAGACTTTGATGCAAATCCATGAAAATAAGCATCAAATTCAGCTGAAATTTCTCTAATTTGTCCACTTAACACACGGCCTTTCATGCCACCTATTTCTATTTTCTCTAGTTTTTGGAATTCTAAAACTGTTTTAAAAAACCACTGAATTGTATTTAAACGTTCAAGAAAATTATTCATCCGTTCAAATACAACATTTGGGTGGAAAGTCCAGGGTATTACAGTTCGGTCAACGAAATACTTTGGTAAATTTTCTTTGAAATAATCAAAGGTTTGTCTAAACTTTTTTAGAATATTTATTGTAACTTGAATACGTTGTCCGGCTTCATCAATGTCACTATGAAACAGTGTACTGGGGTCTAAGCATTTCTTTGCCTAAAAGTTTATTTATTTATTAGTCATTGCTTTAGTAAATACGGATTTGCTTATTTAGTTTTAGCTTCTTTTATTATTTAGTTTTAGCTGCTTTTAGTTTAGCTTCTTACCTGATAAATTAAAAGATTACAAATCTGTTTTATAAGAACCATTAGCTTCGAAGAACTGCAATAATATTTAGAATCCCTCCATATCATACAAATGACGTGAAACAATGGTCGAAACAGTGGCTGACACTCGGTAAAATCAGTATCTTCAAATGCTTGAAAATGCTTCTCTAATGTTCTAAGATACAAATCGATTTCACGAGCTTCTGCCAGTGCTAAAATAAAAACACATACAAATATTAAAAAAGTCTTTTGTAAATTACAGCTGAGCAATTATATTTGACGATCTACTGAATCTACTAAATTTCTTATTTACCTGATACGATATTTTTGAATAGGCGACTAAAACATGGATAATAAGCCGACGTAGTTTTTTCAAGTATAACAGCCATACATCGAACCCTTTCTGTACGTAGTTGATCGTATATATAATTTAAGTTGTTTAATCTAGATCTCCAAAACGCGAGCTCTGAAAATAAAAATAAAAATTGTAAAACCCAAAAAACCAATATTTACATCTTTAACTGTAATCTATCCAAATACATAAAATTGAAGTGTCCGTTTGTAATATCAAATTAACGGCTTTTTACTGAATACATATGAAAATATACATTGTACAGTGTTTATAACATAAAACTATTTTTTTTTTAAATTGTCTGTCTATCTGCGTGTTTGTTCCGACTAATCTCCGAAATAGTTGGACTTTCACTGACATATAGCTAATGTGATATGGAGTATTTTAGACTAATTTTATTTTAGAAAAAAAATTTGGGTTCCGCGCAATAAAATTAAAACCCATGAAATCCAATCGTAACAAATTCCACGAGGAAGAAGACGCGGAGAACTGATAGCGGGTATAAAAGTGATTTGCTGCGTTTTTTGTACTTTTTCATAGTTATTTAAATTTACTTTCCGAACGTGCTCTTCTTGTATCTAAATCGCAACTTACCTACACAATTTGTATTTTATTCCATTCACTTGCATCATTGCAAAATACTTATGACGGTGCGGGCGAAGACGAATTGACCTTCAATGGCCTTCTTCACTAAGAAGAGGCATCTTTACTATTCATACACCTATCATCATCATCCAACAAACTACGAATAATGTAATGTTGTGCAACATTGATTAATTATTTCGTTATTTTTTTAAATAAAATAGTTGTATTGGTCTGTTATGGTATAGTTTACGAATCGTTAGATATGGATTAACGTTTTTAGTAGTGCCATGTCGATCTTGTACTTATAGCTCCCAAGTTTATGTGCGACTTATAACAAAAAGTATGTGACAACTATGTTACTTGCCCAACTGGAAAAGGTAACTAAAGGCATATTCGGTTTGTGATTTTGCAGACCTTTCGCTTCTTACATAATTTTTCATATATACCCACTTTTTCGATCTAAACGTGGTGGAGTGTTTCACTGCTCTCTGAACACTGCCTGCCCATTCAGGGATTACTGGCTTGCCATATATGTTATGTATATACATGAAATATAGAAAACTATATATACTAAATTTTACTTAACTTTATCTATATTCAGGAGCCGATCTAATCGTGTGTAATGCACCCTGATTTCAACTGTGTATGCTAGCTGAATTTTCTACTGAAACTCTACGGGGAAGTCTTACATATAGTGATACGCCTCTGCACACACCGCACCGGTAAGGAAGGGGAAATATATCAACTTTTTCTTAAAATAATAACCTCAGCATTGTTTGCACGCGATAATGATGAGAGGCGAATAAACAAGAACTTTTTGTATAGATTCCATCATCAGGCGATGGTCAGTATCATGTTAGTTGAATAACCTAGTAGGCGATCTTAGCGTTTTGGCTTCCAAAGCAAAAAAACAGGCCTCAATTAAAAGAAACCTCTATTTATGTACTTACATTAATTTGCACCGTCTCCGAGCACTACATTAATTTGAAGTTGGATCGTGATTTAGGCCAAAGTAAAGGGGAATTTTTTTTCTCGGAAATGCAGTTTATCCATCGAGCGACTTACCTTTTCATTAGAGTAATGCAACTCTAACACTCTTAAATTAATTATTTTGGTGAAAACTTAGTACTTATATATGTATACACTAGGATCTAACTTCACACTGCTATACGTACCTATTGCATATAAATTAATATTTAATGATTTCTTACGTTTTCGCGAATACTACACATTAAATTAAACCAATTTTACGGATTTAATCGTGTTTAATTTTAACTTTTTAATTTCCGACGTTTCGGATCCTTTACAGCACCCATGGTACCCGCGTGACTAAACGTAAAGTAAAAATTAAGCGCGATAAGATCCGTAAAATTAGTTTCATTTATCTTCTTTAATTTCCGGCATTCGTGTAACAGTACCGAGCAAAAATCGTCGAGACCCACGATTCTCAGGATAGGTGAACTTTCTACATAAGTACATAATTAAGTTTTTTCGGGACTCTCAAGGCGCGGGTCCTGCTCGCTCTTGTCTATTTTTTTAGGAATACCTTATTTATGGTAACAAAACGATATAATAATGAAAAAAATAACATATACAGTGCGCAGTAACTCATCCCTGCCAACGATTTCCATAAGTACGAGTATAAATGAACAGTTGTGATTAAATATAATATAAGCAGGGGTGCGCGCGTACTGTACTCTTTATTTGTTGGGCGCTGACAGAATAACAGCGTTGTAGGCAACTGCAACATTTATGCTGAGCTAGAACCCATTCATTACTACACTATGTAATTCTATTTCTATGTGTATTGCTCACTGTAACTTTATTGGTGGTAATGAATAAATTTTTTATTGTTATCCTTCGATCCCCACCAGCACAAATTAAATTGTTAATTGCTAATTTAATTGCTGATGTACTCTATGCTGGGTGATGAAGAAAATCATTTTGAGGAAACCTACATGACTGAGATTAAAAAATAAAATGTTTCGAAAGTATGTGAACTCGGAATATGAGAAACAAGAGGTAGTGGAATATGAAGCCTGCCAACAAGCATTAAAGCAAAGCGACGGTAGTGATTATACTCTCTTTGGGCGACGACAGACCGACTACTTCTCTAGTCCCTCTCAGAAATAAAAGTAAGCCTGTTAACAGTGGGTCGTATCTTTACTTTGTTAATAAATCAAATATTGTGACTACAAAGCTAATGCTAACCGACATTAGGCAGTGGGTTTTGTCCGTTCTCAAAAGCTTGCGATGAATCCTCCATCATGACGTCATTGATCTGCTGAGCCCATTTAATGACCACTCCTTCAATAGCACTCTTCAAATATAAATCAACTTCCTTTCCCTTTAACATTTCCTTCTCCGCATCGTGAACCAACTCTACGCCCACAGGCATCGGAAGAACTGTCTGTCCATTGACTTTGCCTTTAACCTAATGACAAAGCAATTTTTTTTAATTCTAACGATTTTTTGAACAAGAATAATTAAAATAGTTTTATTTATTCTTACATACATTCTGATACATAAGCTTGTCAATAAAATTAAAATAAGAGTTCTTGTGTATTTATTAAGGACATTGTGTTACAATAACAATAGGAAATTGCAGTAAAAAAATATTAAAAGTTATACAGTTGCATTTTTCCTAAATATAAAATACGTTTTTGTATAAAAAGGGTGACAAACGAGCACTCAGTCAAACTGATGTCAATGGATACTTTGGCCCAACGACATATATGTACATCCATCCTCGATTAAGAATCAAAATGCAGATAACGTATCTGCATTTTGATTCTTAAACGAGGATGGATCACTGCTAAGGACAAAGTTGAATTTAAAAGGTCTCAGATTCTCTACACTCAGTTTACGAAACACAGCAGCATTACACAGCAACACCTGCTATTTCACGCTAGTATCTTGTGGTCCTACCCCGGCCGAAATGACGCATCGTGCTACAGCCGTAATAGTAGCTGCAGCATGGCATTTTCATATATGTAAAAAGTAAAGTTACAGCCTTTATACGTCCCACTGCTGGGCACAGGCCTCCTCTCATTTCTGAGAGGGTATTAGGGCAAGGAAGTGTCCGCCACGCTGCCCCAATGCGTGTTGGCGAACTTCACATGTCTACGTAAATTTTTTTCTTATTTCTCAGACATGCAGGTTTCCTCACGATGTTTTCCTTCACCGCCGAGCACGTGGTAAATCAGCACTTAAAATTGCAATTAACAATTTCATTGGTGCCAGCGGGGCTCGAACCCGGTTTGTTCGCGTACTGTGAAATTTACAGCGAGCGCTATCCATCTGAGCTACCACGGCTCATATATGTACTTAATCGTATTGGGCTTACACTCGTTGGTATCAAGATCCTTGATGTGTTTTTACTATTAGATTTTACTAAACGAGAAGGACTACCGTTTTTTAGAAATACGATCCGGACTATTTTTGATACTTAGTCTCATACAAGCTAACAATCTCAGCATACATTTAATATCGAATGAAACGACATATATTCAATAGTTATAGTGCTTAACTTATAGGTACAAATACATATAACTCCTTACCTCGTAAACCGTGCTCTTAAGGTTATGTATTTGCTTTAGAATATCTTGTGAAACCACCAACGGCCATCCTTCGTGATTTAATGGATTTGACAAAAGAGGAACAAATACTTCATCAACCAAAGACGCTAATTCATCAATTAACTTTGGTGCCAAGTCACCTACAATTTAAAAAACAAATTTACCTTCCCAAAGAATTCGTATTTATTTAAGTAAAATAATCTACTGTGTAATCGACGAGTAAGAAACGTCACCGCATTTCGTTTTGCGGGTGTACAAACTTACTAGACATAATGTCATGATTTCCGATGGATCGGAATATGATTGTCACGCCTAAGCCTTTGAGGGTATAAAATCCATAACGGCTAGGGAAAGCAGTGTTAAAGGTACAAAACACGTCCAAATACTGGGATCTTTAAACCCAAGCTTGGAGATGTTATAGTAAATCCTCCTTGTTATGGGGAAGTCCCTATTCGGATTTTTATAAAGCTGATAAAGAACAAGAAGAAAACTAACTTACCAAAAATAATCATATCAGCGCAGTTCTCTTTAGGAACGACATCGGCCTTCTTTTTTATATAATATACAGCTTTGTTCTTTAAATAACATGGAAAAGATATAACAGGAACCAACTGCGCTGCGTGCGTCAATATTATCAATAGAAGCATTGGAAATGGCTTGTCTACGAATTCTTTTAAAATGGACCTGTGTTCCTCTACGCTTACTAATCTCATCCATTTTTCTGGCTTGAGCTTCAAAGATTTCACAGCATAAGAGCCAATGAAATCAAAGCGAGGATCTTGGTTCGAAGACGATGGACCCGGCTGGTCCATCTCTGATATTAATGGGATTATGTTAACATTTCGAATAGAAGGCGTTAGGATTTGGAAGCAAGCAGCCAATACGGCCACCAGTTACTTATTGAAGCTAACAAAGAAGCTTAAAGCCTTTACGAACAGCAAGTCACGCAATTCAAATGCAATGCTATTATGGAACGATGTCTCCTTTGTAACGAGGCATAAACTTTGCTATACGAAAATAGATACTATTTACGGTACGCAAAAAAATGGTTTAAACGTCATTTTGATGTTAAGATATAAACAATGTTTAAAGCTCATTAACAAGGTAACGAAGCGTTTATTTCGGCGCTGCAGGGTCGGGGATTTGAATCCCGCAGGGAACAAGTGTTTATTTTTTTTTTTATTAATAGCGTAATATTATGAGCTAACCTATTAGAAATGAGAGTAGGCCTGTGCCCAGCTATAGGACGTATATAGGCTGTAACTTTAACTTTATTATAAGCATGACTGTAGGAATTATTGTTTGTTAAAATTGTTCTCAGTATTGGTTTGTACAGTTTAAGACTCATTAAAATATTACGATAATGTTTTTAAAAATTAGCATCAAATTGTACATTTAAAATTCTTCTCTGTAGATGTATTTGTACAGTTATCGCTTTGATTATATAGACAGGTATATAATCAAAGAGTTATCGTTACAGTATATGTATTAAAGTCTACTGCTGAACACAGGCCTCCCCCATAGATTGCTTCATAGGTTGGATATTTGCCACATTTGCCACGCTTGGGTTGGTAACAGCAGTCTTTTTATTTTTAATCGTTACTAGGAAACGCTGTTGCTAATCGCCTGATTTGTTTCCCCACACCCACGGAATGATATTTGTACAGTTATAAATGCTACAAAATATTTTACTGATTTCCACTTTTTCCATTATATAGCTTATTATGTTGTTTGGATTGTCAGCTGTTAACTGAATCAAAGTTACTCACTACGAACTATACCTATAGGTAGACAAACTCCTGAATTATTTTTTACTACAAACATGCTTTACCTATACCAATAAATTCCGTTGGAAGGAAATGTCTTAATACAGCTATAGTACGAGCCCGACCACGCATCAGTAAGAGCTAGTTCGATGCCTATATACCTAATGATACGATGAAATATACTAAGGAATCAATGGAATCTAAGGACGCTAGAGACCTGCAGTGGACATATAGTGGAGTGCACACTTACATTTTTAATGCTCTGACTCTAGCCGCTTTTCTGCGTGGTAGAGTCAATTTGCAGCATATCACAGCTAATGCACGAATGGTAGGTACATTATCCTCGATTGGGAAAGCACCACGGTGGCACAGAACAGAATACCAGAGTAAAACAGCTGTTTTGTATGGTTATTGACGAGAACGACCCTGTTTCTGGTAGGTAACGAAACTTCTATTTTTCTTCTCTTGGATGAAAAGTCCGCATTTAAGGTTTTAATGAGCTCATGAATGAGTAAAACTATGGAGTTGTAATCATGACATTGTTAATAAAAAATCATGTAGATACTATGAGTTCAACTAATTTTGCAGACAGTACTTCTTGGCAGAAGTAAAGCAGTGCCAGGCAAAAGGCGCGCCACCCTGCGACCGCGCGACGACAAGACGACACTCGCACGACGTCGCGAATAAGGTCAATTCTGATGCTTTGTCCTTCAACTTAAGTAAAAGACGGGAGCGATTTGAAAATATTCATATCGATGGTTGAGGGTTCACATTTACCGATTGAGTTTTATCAAATCATGATTCTTTTGTGCGAAATATGTGCATTTGTTACGTAAGTATTATTTTCTTCGAGAGAAAATATCTAGTAATATTTTACAAATAATGTAATATGTGTTATCCTGTGGCGCTTACGTATGGGAATCCAGCACACAATTTCGTTCCGCGGGTGTCGTAAAAAATGACTATGGAAAATGTCAAAAAGATCTCATGGGTTCAGATAAATGGTATGGTTCCGTCCGAAAGTGTCATTTGTATTTTTAATATAATATCCGTTATTCGGGTATTTTATGATAACTAAGATAACAAACATTGAATTGTACAGAGTCTAGATGCTTAAAACAGAAAAACATGTCAATGAAAATAATTACGAGCAACGTTATTGTAGTTTTCAATACTGCTATTGTTGATTCATTAGTTTAGAACGACGACTATGATAACCCTGGTTGGGTTATAATTCGGAGAAGCACCTATATGGCCAGCAATAAATTGTAGTTGTTGTTTATCAATGTTAAACATAAGCGCAGAAAGCTTATTATCTACCTCATATTCTTTTTACAAGTGAGCGTAAATTCAATTACTCGATATTTCGATTTCGAGCTTGAACTCGCTTTGCAGAAACAAGAAAAGGTTGGTACCAATTCAGAGATATTTATATGCAGAATGTACGAGAGAGAATGAGATTTTACAACCAGTGCGTGTGTGAGAGTGACGACTTATAGATCTGAGGCATGGTACTTCACTGCTGGCCGTATGAGGAAGCTCAGGGTCACGAGCTATTGAGAGGGCTATGTTCGGGGTTTCTCTACGTTATAAACTTAGAAACTTTGAAAATAACCGACATAGCCCAACGGATTAGTAAGCTGAAATGGCAATGAGATGGGCATATAGCTCGAAGAACCGACAACTGATCGGAAAGTGAGGTTATCCAATGGCAGCCTCGTACCGGTAGGCGAAGAGTAAGGCAGCCTCCCACTAGATGGAGTGACGACCTGGTAAGACATGCAGGAAATCGATGGATGCAGGTGGCTCAGGAGCGCGCTTTGTGGCGTTCCTTGGGGGAGGCCTATGTTCAGCAATAGACTTGTGCAGGGCTGTAACGATAATGATGATGATATATGCGGGATAGGAATTCAGTTATCTAGTAAAATTTTGCGTCGTTCAAATTATCGACAAAAATGTTCGAGGCTTATAACTTGTGTTAAATTTATCAAACGTTGAATTAGGTTACGTAATAAGTTATGGTTTACCATAAAATATCGGTAGCATGTCGCTAAAATGCATTCTTGTTTTTATCAGATACGAATCGAATTACTTAGTGATATTAAGTTATAGCCAATATATGTTCCACTGCTGAGGAGACCTCCTCTCATTTCTAACCGGATAGTCATATTCCCCTGCATTGAGAAACTTCTTCTGTACTCACTGTTTTATTAACAAAAGTATTTTATTATTAGTCTCAGTTTAAATCTAGAGACTATTCAACAGGGATGGGAGATATGATAAGGATATTGAACGACGAGTGAATGCAGGAAATAAAGTAAATGGGGCTCTACACTCTATTGTGAAAAGTCAGAATGTGTCAAAAAAGGCACGTATGGCAATTCACAATGCTGTATTAGTCCCTACTTTAACATATGGTAGTGAAAGTTGGATGTGGCAGAAGAAGCACGAGAGTAGAATAAATGCAGTAGAAATGCGTTCGCTAAGGAGTATGTTAGGGCTGAATCTGAGTGACAGGGTGAGAAACTGTGTGATAAAAGAAAAGTGTGGTTTGCAAGATGATGCAGTGACCAGGATTAAGAAAGGAATGCTTCGGTGGTTTGGTCATGTAGAAAGAATGAATGCGGAAAGACTGACAAAGCAAATATATGTTGCAGAAGTGAATGGAAGAGTCGGAAAGGGACGTCCTAGGCGGAAGTTTGTCGACCAAATTGGCGATATACTAAAAATTGGCCAAATTAAGAGTACCCTTAACCGACGAGTATGTATGCGTAGGTATATGGATGTGGAAGAGGCGAGAGGGGTATGTCAGGATCGTGCTAAATGGAAGTCTGTAGTCTCTGCCTATCCCTCTGGGTGACAGGCGTGAGTGTTTATGTTTATGTTATGTTTTACTATTTCATGAAAACAGGTCTGTAGAAAATATGCAAAGTAAAAAGTACTTTACTTTGTATGGAATTTTTAACACACTGCAAAAATGATACACGCGCTGAAAGCATTAAATATGGAGTTTGATAGCAAATATCAAATTTCGCGAAGACTGGCGCCGCCAATATGGTAAATTGCTTTTAGTTCCTTTTCTGAGGAAATGTAAGAATTACTTCAATAGTAATGTGTTTTATAATTCAATGCTAAGGTCAACTTCAATAGTAATATGTTTTATAATACAATGCTAAGGCATTGGCCTTAAGCTATTAGTTATTTAATATTTTATCATGGCTTTATTTAATCTGTAGTCGATTAAACAAAACAAAAAAAATCACATGCCCTTTTCTTTTGGATAATTGCAGTTCCCTGTCACCACTAAATATAACGTAGTTTACTATACGGACGTAATGTTATACTGAAAATGTGTGAAGCACCCTAGGTCCTTCAGTTTTGTTTCATACACGTAAGCAAATGCATCAGGGTCCGACAATCAGCATCAGTGTAAGGCCTGGTTTTACATTTTTAAAAGTGAAGGGGTTAGTGCGTATTTTATTCACACTTATCACATGTCACTGCCTACTCACACGCACTAAGCACTTGGCATTTGTCAGTTGCACTTGCCTCTTGTATTTGTCACTTCTCCAAATGTAAACCGGGTTTTAGGCCCGGCCTTGACCCGTGTGAACAGGCGGTGACAACTGATAAGTGCGAAATGAAGAGGCACCAAGCACTTATCATTTGTCAGTTGCATTTGCAACTCGCACTTGTCGTACGTACTGGCCATAAGGCGAGTAGTAAGTACTCCTTCCAGAGTCTCGAGACATCTTCAAGGAAAAGGGTTTTTTACATAACAACATAGCCTTTTTTAAACCTCTGCTAGATATCAAGACATCAGGTCTTTCTTAGAATGTGCATTTGCCTATAATCACCACGCTCACAAGGGGAATAGCTAAGTACATAACTAATAATACTGCTCCTCATGACCAATCTGTTAAATTAGAGTGCAGCACTTTTTGGTTGAATTGACTGACATGAGTCCGTTACAAGAGCCCCGTCGTTAACTAGCAAGGTGCACCTCGTGCAAGTGAAGGAAGTATAACCATTTCAAGAAAAAGGTT